GGCTGAGTGTCTGTGGCCCTGGGCACAGCCAGGCCTCTCAACTCTTCAGATACTCTTGGATTTCCCAAACATGTGCACCTTCAACTCCCTGATAGACCCCGGAGGCCTCCCCATCCTGGCTTGTTCTCAGAAGACTGAGCACTGGCCTGGGTGTCTGGAGGTTCATATGCCACCTCTGCCGTTCCCTGTCTGTGTGATCATAATTAGTAGCTTCCCCGCTTTGGACCTCAGTTTCCTCATTTGTAGGAAGGGGCTAAATGGACCTGCCTTGCCACTTCTAGATGGTTGTAGGCATGAAGCAAGTCCTCTCTTAGCTGCCTGGCAAGGTTTCCATGGACGGGAGACTCTGGCCCCAGCCTGGCTCAGCTGTGTCTCAGCTCACCAGCCCCTCCAGTGGCAATTGATTTTCACACAGGGAGGATTCAATCCTGTTCTGATGCTCTCAGCTCACGTGTTATAACGAGGTTGGCGGGAGGAGACGAGGCCTGGCTGTGCCACTGATCAGATCCTCTCACTGCCCGGCCTCCTGGGAGCTCTGTATCTGGAGCAGGCCTTTCAGCACTGGCCACACGATCGCCTCCTAGCGACGGCCGGGCCTCCACAGAACAAGAGACTGGCCCTCCAGACTGGGCTGTAGCAGGACTCAAAGGAGAGGGGTACCCGAGCTGGGCCTTCCTGCTTCCTCAGTGACCGGCGGCTGCCTCTCCTTCCTCTAACTGTCCATGCTCCTTGTAGTGGCCAGAGCGAGCTCTGGGAAATGCCCATCAGTGATAGAAAAATTGGGGAACAGAGATGGATGATGGCCGAATAGCAGAACAGTAGTGTCACTGAATTGATTTTAGTGTCAGTGAGCTATGCATGACAAGGACGTTGAAAGAGATGCAAAAATCAATCACATCATGTTACTTCTCTGCCTAAGAGCCTCTAAGACTTCACATCTATCTCAGAATAAACCCAAACTCCCTGTCGGGGGCTTGTAGTACCCCCTGGATCTGGCTGCTCCCTCCTTTCCCACATCGTTCAAGACAAATATACACTCGCGGAGGCTGGGGACCCTGACATCTGGGGCTGCAGGATCTCCGCCTCAGGTTTCCCAGGACCCCATGGATGCTCAGTATTCCTTCCTGGGGCCGCGGTAATGAGTTAGCACAATAGTGGGTGACTTGAAACAACCGAAGTTACTGCCTCACGTTTCTGGAGGAGGTTGTTATTGTTAGGTGCCCTCAAGTCTGTCCCAAGACTCAAAATCTGAGGGATCTTGTCTCATCTTTCACTGTCTTCAGTTACTGACATCTTTGAGCCCACTGTTAAGTCACTGCATCAATCCATCTCATTGAGGGGAGGCCGTGTGTCTTTTTTCACTGACACTCTTTTCCCAAACACATTGTCCTCCAGGGACTGTTTCTGCCCAATACATGTCCCAAGTGTGTGTCAAGACAGAGCCTGGCCGTGGGAAATTCTGGCTGTACTGTTTTCAGGATCGATTTGATTGTTTCTCTGGGGTCAATGGCACATTAAATATTCCTCACCAAAACTGTAATTCAAAGATATCAGTAATTGGTCGATCTTTCTTGTTTATTGTCTGGTTTATTCGTGCATATGAGGAGATTGAAAATAGCTTGGGTTGAGTGCACCTTGTCCTCAAAGTGGTAGCTTTGCTCTTCTAACACTTCAGAGAGGTCCTTTGCAGTAGATATACCCCATTCAGAACATGATAAGATTTCTTGACTGGTGCTTCCACGGGCGTTGATGGTGGATCCGATAAAATGAAAGCCTCAGCAGTTTCTATCTTTTCTCCATTAATCATGATGTTGCTCGTTGATCAATCCGGAGGATTTTGGTTTCATGTGGAGATGCAATCCGTGCTGAAGGCCGTGGTTTTTGTTCTTCAGAAAGTGCTGCAGGCTCTCTTCACTTGCAGCGTGCAAGGTTGTGTCATCTGCAGTTCTCAGCTTGCTGATGCATGTCCCGTCCAGCCCGGAGACCACATTCTTCATACAGCCCAGCACACAGATTGAATAAGTATGCCAAAAGGAAAAAAAAAAGTATGCTAAAAGGATCCTTAGTCCAGAGATTAGAAATCTAAAATCAGGGGCCAGCAGGGCCATGCTCCTGAAGGCCCGAAGAGAAGGCCCTCTGGAGTGTCCAAGGGTTCTTGGAGAGCCTTGGCCTTCCCTGGCGTGTGGCAGCATTGATCCGGTCTCTGCCTTAATCTTTAAGTGGCCACCTGCCATCTGTATCTCATTTCCTCCTCTTATAAGGGCACCAGGTATAGTGGAACAGGCCTATTCTGTGCTGGGATGACTTCATATTAACTAATTACATTGCCAGTGATGCCATTTCCAATTAAGGCCACAGTCACCGGTCCTGGAAATTAGGACTTGAATGTCACAGTCACTAAACACTCTGGAGTCAATGAATAAGCTTCAGTTTCCTCCTTTGTAAAATAGGGGGGAGGGGTGTGTGTGTGTGTGTGTGTGTGTGTGTGTGTGATATTAGTACCTGCCCCACAAGGCTGGCACACTCAGCACATAATGAACTCGTGGTACACACAGACATGAAGGCCAGGATGCGTGTTCCACCTGCCACCACTCTCTGGGCAGTGTGCGGTCAGTTCCCTACTCAACTCTGAGGGGTCAGAGGGGAGTCAGAACCTGGCCTTTGGCGGGCTAACTTTTTAGATGCTGGACTTGTCTTCCTCCTTGTCTGCATGGATGATGGAGCATCCGTTACGTGCATACACACTGAAGGGAGAATACCTTCTAACTCTGGGAATCTCTCAAGGAAAGATAGGGAATGGGAGGCACAGGGTGCCAGAGGGCTTGTTCACAAGACCTGTGGAGCAGGGGAGACCCAGAGCTCTGTCTCGTCCTTGGTGTGGGTTCCTCCACGCTTGCTCCAAGCGAACCCCGTATGCCAAGAGCAAAACAACCGCCTGAAGCACGTAATTAGCGTTGGCACTTGTTGTTGGTTGCCATGGAATCCGGGCTGACTCACGGCCTGCTCACATCTGACAGGACGGAAGGTTGCCCGTTTGGCACCATTGTCATGACCCGTGTTTGAGTCAGGGGGTGGCCACTGTGTATGTTTAGTACCCTGTAGTCTTGGGGTGGGGGGGTCTCATCCTCCAGAATGTTACCAGACAGTGTTCTGTTGTGATTTGTAAGATTTTCACTGGTTAATTTTGGAATAGAACAGGGTTCGGAGCTGTTGTGGTTGTTCATAGGGTCGCTAGGAGTTGCGGGTGACTTGCCGGCACATAACAGCAACAACAACAATTTTGGCGGAGTAGATCACCAGGCTTTTTAAATTTTTTAATAACTAGCACAATGGGAGTGAGTTTGAGCTTTTGAGTAAAGAGTTGAAATGCCATCATTTTCAGTATACGATGCAACAATTTTTGGTAAGTTTTCAGAGTTCTGTGGTCATCGCCACAATTGACTTTTTAAAAAAGTATTTTTATTGATTTTCATATAGTGATTTCTTTACATTCATATACATTGTATTTTATGCAATCTTTCATTTACATTGTTTCATGCAATAATTTATATACATTTAATTTTACATTACTTTTAAAAATTGGTTTGCTTACAAAGTTTACATACATGATATTTCACACTGTTCTTCCTTCACATTGTGTTTCATACAATCATTCTCTTACACTGTATTTTATAAAATCAGTCACCATTGGATTTTGCCCATCATTACCCTGTCTTTTCACCCAGGTCCTTCCCATTTTCTTCCCAACTGCCTCTCCTGTGCAGCCCTGCATTTTCATCCCTATCTGTCCTCACCCTTTTATTCCCCTTCGTGAGTTCCTGTACGTGATTTACTAGTTATCCTTCTATATTTACAAAAATGGTCTTATGCAGTATTTGTCCTTATGAGACTACATTAACTCACTCAGCATAATGCTCTCCAGCCTCTTCCAGGTTACATAGTGTTTTTCCAAATCATTGTCTCCTGAGTGCTGCATAGTATTCCACTGTGTGGCTGTACCACAATTCTCAACCCATTTGGTTGTGATTGGACATTTTGGCTGTTTCCATGTTCCTACGATGGTGAATAACACTGCTGTGAACATTGGTGTACACATCTCTGTTTGTGTCTCAGTTCTAATTCCCTTGACACCAGGCCTTGTTTCCTAACTTTGAGAACAAACAGAAGTGATTCAGACGTGCCTCGCCCCACCCTCTGCAGGCGTGGAATTTTTGTCAGTGTACTGTGTTAAGGCAGATGAGGATAAAGACTGGCGCAGGGAGAATTGGAGCAATTTGTAGAGTTAGTTGGTTCACTTATTCAGTTCTCTTTTTTATTTTCATTCAAGAAATACGTTATTTCCTGCATTAGCTGGGAGGAAAAGAATAGAGAATTCTCAGTTGAGAAGAAGTTCTAAGACAAGCACTTCTTTTTTTTAAAAAAAAAATTCTTTTTAAATTTTTTCTTTTCTTCTTGTGTGCTGTCGAATCAGATCCGACTAGCACAGGAGGAAATTGCCCCTGCTTCTCTAGTAGAGCATCTGGTGGATTCAAACCGCGTGCACCTTCGGTATTGCAGTGCAGCTTCTTTGCCACTAGGCCACCAGAGCTCCCTTAGACAAGCCCTTTTTAGTGGCTAAAGCAGAAAAAAGGAGATACACATTTACAAGCTCCTCTGTAGCCTCAGGATGTGTGTATATATTGGCTCCTCTGCAGGAATCTAGATTTCTCTGACACTTCCGTATCTGCCAGGATTCATATGACAAGGACAGCCAGGACTGTCACAGGTAAAAAGATAGAGAGCAGAGAATAACTTTAATGGCAGACTTCAGACACCTACCGGAGGCTGCTTTTGCACGCCTTGCATTGCATTTTCCTTCAGGCCTCTGCATGCAGTTTTCCCCCCTATTCCTTTCCATTTCTATACTTTAAAAGCCCAGGGGTGACACTTGCCCAGGGTAGGTGTTGTAGCACATAGCTGTCTCCTCTCTGACTCCCTCACTCTTGTCTTTTTAGACTGCCTGGAATTGCTGCTGCCACCACCACCCCCCATGGCCTACATACCAGGTGGAGCTGCCCCAGCGTCCGGGGCAGCACCTGTGGGCACCCAGCATTGCGTGTGCAAGGTGGAACTGTCAGTGAGTGGCCAGAACCTGCTGGACCGGGATGTCACCTCCAAGTCCGACCCTTTCTGTGTCCTCTTTACAGAGAATGATGGCAGGTGGATGGAGGTGAGACCCCCTTCTGTGCATCTGTTGAAAGGAGGACTGACTCCATTGCTAGAGAGGGGCTCCCACGAGATCCAAAGGCCCTCGGTCTGGATCCGGGCAAGGGTGGGCTTTATCAGCCCCTCGAGGAGGTTGGAGTGTGGGTCAGCGGTAGAAGTAGGAAGGGTGTGTGTGTGTGTGTGTGCGGTCTGGATCCGGGCAAGGGTGGGCTTTATCAGCCCCTCGAGGAGGTTGGAGTGTGGGTCAGCGGTAGAAGTAGGAAGGGTTGGGAATGGTTGCACAACATGAGACTGTGATCGTTGTTGCTAAATTGTACATGTGGTTGTGTACTGGCAGGTTGGAACTAACTCATAGCTGACCCTCCAGAGTTTTCATAGGCAGTAAATTGCACAGGAGTTGAGTGCCTGTCTTTCTCCCAAGGAGCAGCTGGTGGATTTAAACCACATACCTTTGGGTTGGCAGCACAACTCCTTACCACCAGTCCACTAGAAACTATTAAATTGCTATCTGCTTTGCTGTTCATACTTCTAACAACACAAGGAATAAAATTTAATGAGAGGGAAAAAATTGTTATTGTTAAAAATAAATATTATAATATATGTAAGTGGTATAGCATTGGTCTGTCCGTTCACTGTACAGAGGTAACTCATGGTTGCTGTGATGCTGAACACTGTGACACTGATGTGTCACATATGATTACAGTCACCCATTTGTGGACAGTGTTTGGTGGAGCTCCCCAATTAAAACAAGCTTGGAAGCAGGAGTGGCATCCACTTCCAAAATAGCTTGCCTCTGGAAACTATAAACCTGCAGAAACTATTAAAGTTATCTAAGTGTTCAGGTCTTTTATAGGATCACTATGAGTCGTCTACGACTCGTTGGTACTTAACAACAACAACAACATGTAAAACATTACTTAAAAATAGCTATGTTTTTGTTTAAATTATTCTAGCAGAGTCCCTGGGTAGTACAAATGGTTAAGAGCTCCACTGCTAACCAAAAGGTTAGTAGTTCAAACCTCACAGAGGTTCCTCAGAAGAACACCTTGGTGATTGACTCTGAAAAAATCAGCCGCTGAAAATTTGCTGCAGAACGTTCTGCTCTCACCCTGGTGTTTCTGTGAACTGGAATGGACTTGATGGCATCTGAGTTTTAAAATTATTATAATAATTCGTATGTTTATAACTATGCTCTTGATCTTTATTATTTTATGTACTGTTTTAAATGATCATAGCGTATCATTAAAATGTCATAGTTTAAATAATTCTGCTTTACTTTTTCAATGACTCCTGCTTTGACTCTGTTCCTGAAGAGTCAAAAGAGACATACAAAGAAATGACCTGGGCCCTAAAGCTGGTCCAAGGCCCAGCACTGTTCCTCCCTGCTGTGTGTCCTCAGGCACTCAGCTCTCTTGTCTCCTCATCTGTGAATCGGGGACTGTCTCCAGATTGGGGCATTGATGGTGCCACAGCTCAGCCAGGCTGGGAAACTCTGGCCAGGAAACATTTTCAAATTAACATTTCAGAATTACTGAATTTCCGGATCCAGAAGGATCTATGTACGCTATAGTAAATTTTGAAAACCCAGATCAGCCCAAAACCAAATGTCAATTGAATTAGAACCCATCTGTCAGGAAAAAGTAGTCCTCACGTTTGGTAGCCAGCCTTCCAGATTGTCTGTGTAAGTGCATTTTTCAGAAGTAGTGATTTTTCAGTAGATATTTAAGTGGACAGAGGTGGGGTCCCATGGTATTTAACATTGTTGACAAAGTTTTTACAGATGTTGGCCCCTTCTTCGGATGCTGATCCGACAGGGCTGGGATTGTTGACTGCTGTCATGCAGGGGGCACTGGGGCCCCAGAGGATAAGCGCTTGTCTTTGCCCCCCAGTATATCTGCAAGGAACACAGGAAGCAGGACATAGAGTCAGCAAGTGATCTCGGAGGGAAGCCCCAGATCTGTCACAGACGGGCACCCCAGACCCTCCGCCAAGCCTCTAGATCCCTTGCCTACTCCTTAGGGAGTGGTGTGTGCCCCCTACCCCACTGCGCACCCCCTACTACAGTCCCCCACCCACCACAGCTTCATTGCCCATATTCTCTGCTTCCACCCAACCAGCCCAGCTAAAAACAGCCCAGGGTCAAGGTCAAAGCTCTTCTGTGCCTTCCCCTCAGCTCTTAGAAATGGTCAGAGGGGGGAGGGAAGTCAACACAGCCCAGAGTTCAAAATAGACCATGTCCAGGACTCTGTGGTTTAGGCCTTCAGCATTGAGAGGTGAGAGGCGGCGTGTCCTGGCCCTGCCTCTGACCCACAGCTCACCAGGCCTCAGGTCTGCAGGGAGTGGGTGCGCCTGGGCTGCACAATTCCTGCCTCAGACATTCAGGAGTCTATAAAAGCGACAACAGCTGCTCCCAAGGAGTAAGGGGAACCCCTGGACCCCACCTCTCCCAAGTACCCCTACTTCCTTCTGTTTTATCACTCGGTTTCCATGTAAACTTTGCTTTGTAAAAAAAGGGCCTGTTGACCTGTGGACATATAACCACTGAAGACACAAATATAGGTACTCCTCAGACATAACCAGGCACCTTCCAACATTGATTTTCTAGGTTTGAAAGCTTAGGACCATAGTCCCCTGGAACTGTTTAGTGAGTTGTCATGACACAGTTTACAGGACTCACAATCTGTATCGTAATGAAGTGAGTAATACCTGTCCTGGGTCTAAACAGCCTTCAAGGAGCTCTCTGAACTACAGGTCTTTACTCATCAGGAGCGCAGCAATGAGCTCATAACCCAAAGCTCAGAAAAGCAACACGTCTTCATGGGTCCAGCCTCATCTTCCCTGAGTCTGAAGTCAGGCAAGCTGGAATAGTAGGAGGAGAGATTGCTTGAGACCATCTTCAAACCAAGAGCCGCCCCTCCAACCCCAGCCACTCCCCGGTCCTCACCTTATGATGGAAGCAGAACAGCTCAAAAATGAAGTCCCTTACCCACAGGGAGCTCTGGTGGCTTTGTGGTAAGACACTTTACTGCGTCTCCAAAGGCACACAGTTCAAATCCACCAGCTGCTTTGCAGGAGAACAATGGGTTATCCCTTCTCGATCAATTTACTGCCTCCGAAAACCCACCAGAGGGTCAGCTAGGAGTCAAATCCGACTCTACGGTACGAAACAACATCAGCAGTCCGCAGAGTCAGTGCCCTGTTAAAAATAACAACCCGTTTTGACCAAAAGATCAACAGTTGTGCAAAAACAAAAGACTGGAAAAAGGTCAGGGAGCTATAAAAAGATAAAGGATTACCGGAGGACTGGAAGTGGAATGGACAAAACCAAGAATGTTGACACATTGTGATAGATGTCACCATTTGTGTCAAATGTGAACCTATCATGATGTGTAAAATTACACTAAAAACTCAATAAAAAAAAATATATATTTTTTAAAAAAGGTCAGGGAGCTATAAAAAGATAAAGGATTACCGGAGGACTGGAAGTGGAATGGACAAAACCAAGAATGTTGACACATTGTGATAGATGTCACCATTTGTGTCAAATGTGAACCTATCATGATGTGTAAAATTACACTAAAAACTCAATAAAAAAAATATATATTTTTTTTAAAAAAGGCCTGCTATTCAAAAGGCTTTGAAAAAAACCACAAATAGTCACATCTCTTTCTTTTCTAGAAGTGGAAACTGAGACCCAGATGGTCTCAGTTAAGAGACTTAACCTCTAACACCTACTGATCGAGGGACAGAGCCTGAGTTCTTACTCTGACATCTGAGTATGAAGCCAGAGCTAAAGGGTTAGGACTGTTGGTCTGAAGATGGTCCTGGGTTCAAATCTCGACACTGACCTGCGCAGCCTCTGGGTGCTTCAGTGTCTCTCTCCTGTGACCTGGGGGCAGTGGGAGTGGTAGCTGCAGCCTCATGAAGCCAGCCAGGAATGAGTGCCTGGTACAGAGGAGGGGTCGGCGAGTTAGCAGGACCCAAAGGAGTCAAACCAGTGACCTGACGTGCACTCCTTTTTCCCTGCCCTCTGCCAGTACGATAGGACAGAAACGGCGGTGAACAACCTCAACCCTGCGTTCTCCAAGAAGTTCGTCCTTGACTACCACTTTGAAGAGGTGCAGAAGCTCAAGTTTGCCCTGTTTGACCAGGACAAGTCCAGCATGCGGCTAGATGAACACGACTTCCTGGGCCAGTTCTCCTGCAGCCTGGGCACGGTGAGCAATGGTGGGCAGTCCCCCAGGCAGCCCCTTGCAGGGTGGGTGGGCAGTCCCCCAGGTGAGCAGTCCCACAGACAGCCCCTTGCAGGGTGGGTGGGCAGTCCCCCAGGTGAGCAGTCCCACAGACAGCCCCTGGTAGGGTGGGTGGACAGTCCCCCAGGTGAGCAGTCCCCCAGGCAGGCTCTGGTAGGGTGGGTGGGCAGTCCCCCAGGCAGGCCCTGGCAGGGTGGGTGGGCAGTCCCCCAGATGAGCAGTCCCCAGGCAGCCCTTCGCAGGGTGGGTGGGCAGTCCCCCAGGTGAGCAGTCTCCCAGGCAGTCCCCCTGGCAGGTTGGGGCAGTCAGTCCTCCAGCCCCTGGCAAGTTGGGTGGTCAGTCCCCCAGGCGGCTCCTGGTAGGGTGAGGTGAACAGTACCCGCTTTCCCTCCCCATCCTCAGTTTCCCATGGCCATTTCTTGAGGTAGCATCATAAAAACAAGTGCCCTCCCCTCCCAGGCCCAGCAGGCATCAGACAGGTGAAGTGGCTGAGCTTAAGAGCCCCCATCTGAACAGGCAGCCAAAAGCAGAGCCAGCCACTTGTTGCCACAAAGGATGAGAAATGGACTGTGGTCAGATGGTCAGAGGTGTTGGGCTTCCTGGCTGCAGTGAGATCAGAGCAGCCACGGTTAGCACCACTGCACGCCTGACCACAGTGTCGCGTGCAGTCACACTTCCTCATCCAGTTCCGCTCTAGGGGAGCTGAGGGGGTTTTAGAGGGGCAGACCTAGGACCCCCGACAGGAGATCTAGTCATGCCCTGTGGCTCTGTGCTCTTGGACAAGCCCCACCTTTTCCTCATACCTCATCTACACTCGAGATATAGGGGACACTGTCTGGCCTGTCCACCTACAATGACAGTGAGGGACAAAACTGAAAATGCCTTGAGATGTCCTAGTGAAGGCTGAAAATGTCCCAGGCTTCCCATTTCATAAAAAGGGCGAGGACTGAGCAGTGGGCAGAGGGTGAGAGCAGGACATGCCCACCCACATTCCCATCCCCATGGCTCTCTCAGGGAACGAAGGAGACATTTAAGGAAGAGCCAGGCCCAGGTAACAGATGTGAGCAGGAAATGTACCCAGGGACTGGAGGGTAGCAATGCCAGGGAGTGGTTCTACCAGGGTCTGTCTAGTGTTCTACCCTCCTCCCCTCCCTCCCCACGGATGGCCCCACTAGCTGAATCCAGAAGCCAGAGGGCAGGGAATTGGTTGCTACAGTCTGCAGGGCCCACCTTCAAAGCACAGAGCAGATGGAGAAGGGCCCAGAGTGGATGTGGAGAGAAAGCAAGGCCAGGCACATAGGCACACAGATGACAGTGGTGTGTGTCTACATCTGCATGTTGTATTTGGCTTCTGGCAAGTCGTTTAGGACTTTGTAGTAGGATCATGTAGAGGACTGCACAGCAAGATAATCAGGCTGTCATCTTTTCAGGAACAGATCACCGGTCTTCTGCTTGAGGAGTGGGTGGGCTCCTACCTCCAGCCTTTGGTTTATTAGCTGCACAGTGTTAACCAGCGCCACCATGTGCTGGCATTTTTCACAAGAAACTGAGAACCATGCTCACCCAAGAGAGAGGTTGGATGGGCATGCGTGTGAGGCTTCTCAGTGTTCACTACCCTTTCTAGATTGTTAACACGTGTTAAATGCTGTGCGTGTATTACCTGTTCCAAACAGAAACTAGGAGTTTGGACTCAGTCTAAGGAGGGCGGGCCTGAGGACCCGCGAGGGTGCTAGAAGGGGCTGGACTTCCTGCAGTGGCTCCAGGATGCCAGCCAGGATCTGATCCTGGGCATGAACAAGTGAGAAGGGCTTCCTGGATCACACCCCAACTGTGGGACTCAGGAGTCATGGCCTCTGTAGGCCTTGGCTTGTCAGCTGTTCCTGGCATTGGTTTCTGCCTGCCCATCTAAGCTTGGGGTCTGCCTGGCAGGGTTGGGATCACTCTGAAGAGACTTTAGCCATGGAGTCTGTGAGTGCCTCTACCAGCCCCCACTGAGTCCCACTCACCCCTCTCTGCCCCTCTCTTCCCAGATCGTCTCCAGCAAGAAGATGACTCGCCCTCTGCTGCTACTGAATGACAAGCCCGCAGGGAAGAGCCTGATTACGGTACCAGCACCCCCTCCTTGCTCTCCACACCCCCAGCTTCCTCGGTACCAGCACCCCCTCCTTGCTCTCCACACCCCCAGCTTCCTCGGCCACCCTCCCCCATCAATGGGCCCTCCAGCTGATAATCATCAGCTTTGTTTGGAGTAAAAAGGCCCAACTTACAACTTGCAACAGGTCTCTTAGCAACGGGCTCCGGGCTCAGCAAATGATGCATTCCCTGCGCCAAGCAAAGGAGGGGCTGCTGGGAAGCACAGAGGCGCTCCCTGGGCAGGAGACTCCTGGTCCTCTTGGGATATCAAGGGCCCTCTCAGCTCCCCGCCCTAGCCCCTGTCCTCTGTTGGGACCTTTCTGAAGCACCTTGCCCTGGAGAGCTCTGTTTGTGATTGTAATGCTCCCTTCCTACGAGACCCAGGCCCTTCTCACACATGGCCCTGGCACAGTCCCTTAAGGCAGCTCTGCTTTTGCAGAGGGATACAAGGCTAATGGAGTAAGTTCCCCAGGTGTGGGGCAGCTTCAAGATTCTCTGAGATGGGACGAGGGAGAGGGGGAAGGGGCTGTCTTGCTCCAGAACCATCTTGACCCAGAGGAGCTGGTCATGATGGAGGGAGAGGATCCTACCTCTGCATTCACATAATTGCTCTTCTGCTCTCGAATCTCCCATGGCTCCCCATTGCCTACGGAGCCCAGCATTCAGAGCTGCTGTAGCCAGACTATCCCTAAATGTGGTTGCCAAGAAAATGTAGGCAGCTCATTTTTAACTTGGAGTTCTTCTTGGTAAGTTAGAATAGCAAAACCGAAGTCCATGTTTTTCTTTCTTTGATGGTTGTTTTTTTGTTTTTTGAGCTGATGCTTTTCTATACAAGCAAAAAGAGATTTGTTAGAGGAAATTCTTTCCAACAGAAGACCCGGAGGACCAAGGTCACTAGGGCCATGTCTCTGCTAACAAAGGAAGCCGAGATCCTTTTATAGACTAGAGGTGGAGAAAGGATATCTTGTTTATTCATGAGAGGAGGGAGCTTTGAGTTAACCACTCAAAAGGATAAGATCATCGTGTTTTTTCATGAAGGGACGCGGGGTCACCTGGGATAGGCTCATGTGGGAGGGATTAAGATAATTTGGCACATCCAGGGTTCTTTTAAGATGCCGTTGGGAGCGTTCTTCCGGGGAGCGCGTGCGCAGGTGATCTGGCTGGTCCTGAGTATGTGTGATTCAGTAACACGTGTGTGTGGCTTTAAGGATGGCTGTCCCGGGGGCGCCAACATGGTCACATGATAAGCCATTTCAAGAAGGCTGCTCTCCAGGCCATACTGGAGCCACTCCGAAGCACCTGACATCTCTTAGCAAAGTTAAAAATTGCTGAGATAGATCACTAAAGGGTACCTCAGCTACTCATTGAGGTTGTGTGTGGGATCTTGGTAATGCCTGTATTACCAAATAATTGGGTCCCCAGCACTAGACTGATAAGCAACATCATGGTCCATGGACAAAAGGCTGAAATTGTCAACAATTTCATTCTTACTTGATCCACAGTCAACACCCTTGGTACCAGCAGTCAGGAGATCAGAAGACGTATTCCACTGGGCAAGTCCACTGTTGGTGACCTCTGTAAATTGCTGATGAGCAGTGATGTCAGTTTGAAGATTAAAGATGGCCCTGATTCAGGCGGTGAATCTTTTCAGTCACTTGCTGTGCATCTGAGAGTTGGACAGTGAGTAAGGATGACAGAAGAAGAATTGATGCCTTTTGAGTTGTGGTGCTGGAGAAGAACACTGAATATCCCATGGACAGCGAAAAGAACAAATAGATATGGCTTGGGAAATATACATCCAGGGTGTTTCTTGGAGGCAAGGATGGTGAAGCTTCATCTCACATACTCGGGACTTGTCTCTAGGAGAGGCTGTTCTTTGGAAAGGTAAAGGCTCACTGAAAGAGAAGAAGACCCTCAACAAGCTGGATTAACACAGTGCCTGCAGCAATGGGCTCAACTGCGTGAGAGGTGTTGGGGCTGCTTCGGGACAGGAGAGGGTTCAGATCTGCTGTTCTTATGAGTTCTGCTCAACTTGATGACACTAACAACAAATGCCTGCATTAGCTGAATGCCGCTTTCCTGATCTGAACCACCCCACGGGACAATACTTTTAAGATTCTGTTATGTTAATAGAGGGAATGACTAAAAGTTGCAGGATGGTGGTGTTAGCTAGAAAGAGTTGAGAGAGAGAGAGAGAGAGAGAAAAGCAGCTGGTCCCAGGAAATGACTAGGCTTTCATTAAGTAGACCTGAGAGGGATGTCGGGTAACTGTGCACAGAGATTAGAATGGCGTGCAGGCAGACAAAAGCAGTTTCCCTTCATAGGGGCTGTTAAGGAGATTTGAGAGCTCTGGTGGCCTAGTGGCAAGAAGCTGCGCTGCAATCCAGAAAGCACGCGGTTCGAGGCCACCAGCTGCTCTGCGGGAGAAGGATGGGCAGTCTCCTCCTGTGCGATTAACTGCCTCTGAAAACCTTCGAGAGGGTCAGCTGTGGGTCAGTTCCAGCTCACAGGTACACAACACAACCAGGAGATGGCGACAGGGGTCCTGTCAGTATGTGATGAGACCCAGGGCCTTACAGGATCTGGTCATCCAGTCGCCTTACCAGGATATATGGTCAGGCCTCCTCAAGATGTCCTCAGGCCTCCTCAATGCACAGTCAGGCCTGGGAGAACTGCAGCAGATAAAGGGTCAGGAGGCTTTCTTCAAAACTGCCCCATAGACTAAAAGGACACTTAGTTTAAACATGTTTTTAATTGCGTTCTTACCTGTTGCACCGTGAGGGATTCATCAGTCCCGGTCTTAGTTTCCTGTCTCAGCTGATTTTACTCTTTCCAGGTTCATGCTCTGGGTTCAAGGCGCACTGAGTTCTTAGCAGACCCTGAACATCCTTTCATCCATCCTGTTCCTGCCGCCTCTGCTGCCCTGTCCCGGTGACCCTGGCTTATCTCCCAGACCTTCTCTCATCATAAAAAGTACACTCCTAAGCAGATCCCCCCTCCAGGAAGCCCACCCAGATGAACCTACCATCTGTGCACACCAGTCTCCCAGCATTTCCACTCTAGGCCCACTTCTTTCCTTGGGAACCCCTAGTGTTTATGTGAGAATAAAGCAACACTCCATGAGGCTTTTTATGGCTGCTTTTGTCAGTCCCTGGGTAGCAAATGTTGGACATATTCAGCATTAACAGTGCCACACAGAGGTTCCATGTAAGAAATGCCTGGTGATCCCTTTCTGAAAAATAAGCCATAGAAAACTCTATAGAGAGGACAGTGCTGTGCTAGAACCTGTGGAGTAGCTGAGTCAGAACTGACGTCACACCAGCTGGCTCCTCTATGAAGTGGGAGTCTCAGTAATAGAACCTGCTTTATGGTGTTATTGCAGGGAGCGGGGGAGGACACATTCAGACTGGCCTGTCAGTGGTCCTGGAGGCCATAGGGGTTACATGAGGCCATCCTATCAGGAGAGGAACCCCTTGCCCATGATGGGGCCCAGTCAACTTGTATTACTGTTCCCAGGGATGTCCCACATGCCTTGATGGGAACAGGGAGAGGAGGAGACCCTCAGACGACTGGTGACTCCCTGGAGGTCCATCAGCGGTGGGGGCAGAGCTAGAAGGCCGAGGATGACAGGGGAGATGCGTGAGCTCGAGCAGGTCCTGCCCCCAGCCCGGCCTCAGTTTCCCTTCCTGTGCCGTGTTTGAGCGTCTCACTGCAGCCACTGTACTAACCCATGTCCTTGAGACTCTGCCTTTCTTTCGCTGACCTTCCACCTGACCAAGCGTGGCACCCTCGTCCAAAGACAGATCTTCCCTAATAACGTGCCCAGAGTATGTAAGAAATCTCACCATCCTCACTTCCGACCTGGCTGCACTTTCATCCAAGACAGATTCGTTTGTTCTCCTGGCAGTCCATGATATATTCACTTTATCCAATATCCAACACCATCATTAGAAGACTTAATTCCTCTTTGGTCTTCTTTATTCATTCTCTAGCTTTCTCAGGCCTTTGTTGTATGTTGTTAGGCGTCTTCAAGTCAAGAACAACTAGTGTCCTCTGTGAACCTCAGATCTGAACCCTGTGCCATCCTCATCACCTCTGCCATGCTAGAGCCCATCCCGTTCATATGAAGCAATTAAAAAGAACAGGGCTCGGGTCAGACACCTTATCCCTCAAGGTGACCTCTTTGCTTTCTTACTAATTTGACCAGACCTTGTTCATCCGATTTGGCCAGCGATACATCATTTGAGTTCTTGACGGGTGCTTCCTTGTGCATTGATTATGGGTCCAGGTGAAATGAACTCCTTGACAACGTCCGTCTTTGCTTTGTTTACCCTGATGATTTTTATTGGTCCACTTTGTGAGGGGTTTTGTTTTCTTTACTTGACGTGTAATCCACCCTGAAAGCTGTGGTCTTGGGTCTTTATCACTCGTGCTTCGTGTCCTCGTCACGTCTTGCAAGCAAGTTTGTGTCGCCTACATCTCCAGAAGGGTTATCAGCCCAGTTTTTCAGTTCATGGAAATGGAGGTTTCAGGGAAACAAGAGATTTGCCCAGGATTGCACGTACACTGCCCCTTCCCTCAGAGCTCTGGGGGAAAAGGTTCAGGGATCGCTCTTTGGCCACCTGCCTCGGCAGGAGAGGGGAGGGTCCCAGAAGCGGTTCATGGCCCCTCACCACCTTCTGGCCTTTACAGATCGCCGCTCAGGAGCTGTCAGACAACCAGGTCATCACGTTGAGTCTGGCTGGCAGGAAGCTGGACAAGAAGGTGAAGTGGGCAGAGGCGAGGGGGTCTCCATCCTTGGCCCGTGTAGTCTCCCCACTACAGAGTTTCTTTCCATACCCTGTGGCCTCTACCCTCCACCATGTCCATTGACCCCCCCCCCCCTCGGTGCAGGCCCACAACACAAGGCCTCACTAGCCACCCAAGCAGGGACCCCCTCACCATTGAAGGAGTAAGCCTCCCATCACTTAGAGGGAGTCAAAAGGAATGGACAGCCATTCATGGGGCCTCTGCATCGCACTCAGGATAAGTGCAGGGTCCCTACAAGACCCTCCTGATGTGTTTCCAGCCCCTGATCTGCCTCCGCAGCATCTGCTTCCTCGTCCCTAGATATCACCAGGCACCCTCCTGTCCCACGACTTCTGTGCTTACTTCTCCCTCTGCCTGGGACCCCCTTTCTCCAGAATACCCCTTGGCAGGTCCTCCACCTCCATGTAGCCTTGGCCTGTACCTCAGCTCCTCAGTGAGGCCTATCCCAGATGTCCCATTCCCTCCTGTTTTCCTCTTACCACACATTACTTTCTAACATAGGTGTTCTGGTGGCTTAGTGGTAAGGAATTGCACTGCCATCCCAAAGGCAGGCAGTTTGAATCCAACAGCTGCTCCATGGGAGAAAGATGGACATTGTCCTCCCATGCTGTTTGTGGTGGTGGTGTTGGTTGCCGTCCAGTTGAGCACGACTCACAGCGACTCTATGAACAAAAGGCCTGAAGTCTGTCTATAACTGTGGTCATTCATCAAAGTTCATAGAGTTTCCAGAGGCATGTTGTTTAGGAAGTGGATGCCACTCCTGCTTCCAACCCAGAAGTTCTGGGAGCTTTAGTGGCAAGAAGCTGCACTGCAATCCTTAAGGCACGTGGTTCGAATCCACCAGCTGCTCTGCAGGAGGATGGACAGTCTCCCATGCAATTAATTGCCTCTGAAAACCCACTGGAGGGTCAGCTCTGGGGAGTCAATGTTACACCCATGCTATTTACATCCTCTGAAAACCCACACAGGGTCAGCCAGGAGTTGGTTCTGATTTGACAGCAGTGAGTTTGAGTTTATTTTGAACACGTACTATTTGCTTATTTATTTTTATTCTCTCCTGCTTGAATGTACATCTTAGCTCAACACTTTTTAAAGCTTATTGTTGTTGTGTGTTGCAGACCGAGGGTCCCAAAGAATGGAATAATTTTATAATTATTAATAGAGAAACAGCCAGGAATGAGATAGAGCAGAGAGCATAAAACAGGAGGGCCGAGCAGTTCTCTACTGAAGACCCCAAGTCATGTTTCTCTGTGTTTTTATCCATAATCTGGGGAAGCAACAAAAGGAATCCCTTGTAAATGAAGGCTCTGTTTTTCTCTATTGTCAGCCTAATGCTCTAGCTCAGGAAGTATTTCCCAGGAAGTAACACTCTGTAGGGGGGCCCTAGCTATCTCCTGTGTGCAGGGAACAAACAGCTCATTTTCTGGGATCTGCCACAAGAGAAATCCTAACTTATAAACCTGTAATTCTTTCAATTCCTGAACAAGGGTTTTCATATAATGTCTGGTCTAAAGTTTGGCTTCCCATCGTTGTGTAGTGTTAGTAGGACCTGACCCATAGCTGACCCTCAGCCGATTTTCGGAGACAGTAGATCACACAGGGGGAGACTGGCCATCTTACCTCTGCGGAGCAGCTGGTGGATTCAAACGACATACCTTTGACCTGCCTGCACACCTCTTTCCCACTAGGCTACCAGAGCTCCTTATTCAAAGTTTAGACCCATGGATATTTGTAAAGGCTGTTACATCCTTCTGTAATGTACTGGAGATGCTTCTAGTTTTTTCCTCCCTAAAGAAATTAAAATCCTGCTCTGCTCCCCCTTAAAGTTCTGCCCCATCTGACACCCCGAGGTTCTTTAGTTCCTGTATATTCTGGGAGTACAAGCTCTGGTAAGCTCAGGTTAAGGACATTTTTTGGGGGGAGACACACTCGACCCCTGGGGACTACAGATGCCCTAAACCTCCTACTAGCCACATGGAATCTAGGGGCATGGGTGCTGGGTCTGCCCAGAGCTCCCAGTCCCTCCCCTCCCCCAAGCCCAGTAACCTCGCCAGCTCCCTCACCCTCACTGCCCTCTCTCCCCCAGGACCTCTTTGGGAAATCAGACCCGTTTCTTGAGTTTTATAAACCAGGAGATGACGGCAAGTGGATGCTGGTCCACAGGACCGAGGTGGGTGTGTGGGGCCCAGGCGTCTCTGAGGCAGAGACCCAACCGTCCCCAGTGGCTGGACAAGCCCATTCAGTCCCAGCATGCAGTGCACCTGAAACACCACGATGGTGCCAGAAGGACTTGTCCTTTCACCCCAGGGAGGTTAACTTGTGGTCACGAGTCTCTCCCTCTCACCACCCATGTCCCGATTGGGTTGACGTAGCCTCCCCCACCCCCCAGACTTGAGCCCCCCTGTACCTGACTGTCCTGCAGGTGATCAAGTACACCCTGGACCCTGTGTGGAAGCCCTTCACTGTGCCGCTGGTGTCCCTGTGTGATGGGGATGTGGAGAAGCCCATCCAGGTGAGAAGGTGGGGTTCCCTGCTCCCCTCCCTGACAGCTCTAGCCTCCCTGACTACCTGAACCTTCCTGGGGTGGCTGTCAATGCTCTTTCTCCAGAAGATTCAGGGTGACATGGACAGGAGAGCTGGGTCCTCACCCCAGGCCACTCTGGCCCCCCTGTGACATGACCAGGCCTCCCCGTCTCTACAGTGACGGGCGTTGTGCCCTGTTCTTCTAAGAGGGCTGGCGCTGCTAGCTAGGATAATGAATGCGGAACACCATGGAAACAACTGAGATGCTGTTGCTGTAATATCGAAACCAAAGCCGCACTGTCCTCGAGAGGTTTTGACACGTAGTGAGCCTGTGAGAGAGGAAAACTGTGCTCTCTTCCCTGTGGAGTTCCTGAGGCCCTAGATTGTTCCTGAAGCAGACTGTTACCTCCTTGTCTCATAGAGCAGCTGGTGGGCTCAAAGGGGGAAAAAAAGAGCTGGTGGCTTAGCTGCTGAGAATTTGGAACCATAAGGACCCCTTTTAAGCATGGTGATCCCCAAGGGCCATGTCTGAGGGGAAGTGGGTGCAGGGAGGCAGCTAGGTCAGGTTAAAGGATTTCCCCAGGGTCCCAGGTCACCCGAGTTCTTGTCCTGGGGTCTCCTGCTGCAGCTGTGAGACCTTGGGTAGGTGCTTCCTGCTCCGGGCCTCAGTTCACCCTTGAGTAGAATGAGTGCAATACTTTCAACCTTTCTCCTGGGGATGGTATAGCAGTTTAAGAGAATAAAAAGTTGAGATTTTTGTGGCCATGTCAGAGGGGAAAAAACAGTGTAGTGAAGGCCCCCTGTGCTGGCCCAGGAGCCCAGGTGGGTTATAACCTGGGACAGATGAAGGGTGGAGCGTGTGAGGAGCTGACTTCCTGCATTGGGGGGACCGGGGAAGGGAGGGGTGAAGGCTTCCTCTGTCTCCGTGTGATCACAGAAGGCAAGCATCTCTGCTGGTCCCAGGCTCTTGGGCCGGTACTGAGGGGGGAACCAGCCACCACGCCAACAGGAGATATAAAGGGAGTTAAAAGGGGCTGAAAAGGCATGTTGTGGGTACAGCTCTGGGGTGACTGCTGGGCCTGTCCCTAGGTCATGTGTTACGACTATGACAATGATGGGGGCCATGACTTCATTGGAGAGTTCCAGACCACAGTGTCACGGATGTGTGAGGCTCGGGACGGCATCCCGGTGAGTCGGGCGGGCGCGCAGGCCTCAGCAAGGGGTCAGGGGAGGGAGATGAGGTTTGAATAAGCCACACTGGGCTCAGACTCCAGCTCAGGCAGGGTGACCTTGAGCAAGACATTCAACCTCATTCAGTTTTCACGTCTGTCAAGTGCATGTGGAAGATTTGGGTGGCAACGAAATGAGATGCTGCGGGCAAAGTGCTTAGCACCTAGAGAACAAGCGGAAACTGTTAACTCACCCCTGGAAGTGGGCCTTGAGTGACTGTTCTGGGTGCAGGATGCAGGTGAATAGTCTGGCGTGGCACACGAGGAACCTTCTACCCTGGGCAGGTGCAGTATGGTAGAAGGCTGAGGTTTCTACCAGGAACTATTTCTGGATGTGCACATCCAGGAGGGCTTCCTGGAGGAGGCATGCTTCCTGTACATACATCAAAGGCCTGGAAGGGACTCTTGGGTTATGGGGAAGAGTCTGTGGCTATGGAGGCCCCCAACTGAACTTGTGTTTCTCCTCCCACGTTGCCCAGGTGGAGTTTGAGTGCATCAACCCCAAGAAGCAGAAGAAGAAGAAGAACTATAAAAACTCAGGCATCATCATCCTGCGGTCCTGCAAAGTGAGCTTGCAGTGGGCTGGGCATAGGGTGGGAGCCGGCCTTGGAGGCGGCGTCACTCAGGGAAGTGGCACTGCCCAGGACACGGACAGAGCATTGAGTTTGGATCTGAAGAAGGCTGAGTTCAGAAGATCCCAGTTCTGTCATCTCCTGGTCCTGGGACCTTCTGAGCTTGGCCTCCCCGGGGCCCCTGCCTCCTCTCCTGTAGCGTGGGCATGTTAACTCAGTAGAGCGTGTGAAGGTTAGTCTTGCATTACATTTCTGTGCGGAGGCCCAGGAATGCATGAGATGACCTCTGGAGGCCTATGCACATGGGAGGGTAACTGCAGGGAGTTACATATGCCATGGGGACCGCCCACCCAGTCCAGGGTCAGCCTTGGGCAAGTAGCAGCATGACGGAGGAACGCGGAGAGCACGGGTGACCGCCCTCCAGGGTGTCGCCAGGGCCACTGAAGCCCTGAAGAGCAGTGAGTCCACACCAGCAGTGGTGGATGAGGTTAGGGGCCGAGTGTCTGCTGAGATCGGCAGGATATTAAGGGAGGCAGCCTGTGGCAGAGCCGAGAGCACTGGCCTCGGGGCCTGTTGATCTGGACGACAGTGCTGGCACTGTTCTCCACTGGCTGGTAGAACTCAGGCTCCAGACCGCCGTCTACTTGACTGGAAACCAGACAGATTGTCGGGCTAACACTCACGTGACTCTTCAGTGCAGTCCAGGCCCAGAGTGCCCTGTACAAAAAGCTGTCAGGGGCAGCATTGTTACTTACGGGTCCTTTCTGAAGCTTGTACTATTCACAGATTTTGACACCAGATTTGTTATTTTTTGAAATGATTACCCCTGTTTTTTATTCCTCTTTTATTCTCTACCTTAAATACAGTTATGTGAAAGGAACCTTTACAAAGCCATTAGAATTGGGAGACCAGTATTCTTTGCCCAGAGGAGGCAGAGATCATCAAAAGAAATAGCATGTTTTTGCCGTTCTATCAATGCTAATGATGGTTTATGGTATAATATATAATATTGCAGTAAATAAAGCTGACTGATTTGTATTTTCTCTAGTGGTTATTAAGGGGAGATTGGGAGGGGCTAGAAAGCTGTTAAGGGCCTCAGAGGAACAAATGGAAACTTTTGTCATGAAATTGGCAGATGTGATTGGCCAGTGCAGTGGCTAAGTGCTTGCTTAGCTGTTAACGGAAAGGTTGGCAGTTCGAACCCACACCAGCTTTTTCTCCAGTGGAGAACGATGTGGCAGGGTGTGTCTGTGAGGATTTATAGCCTTGGAAGGAAACTCTGTGGGGTAGTTCTGTGCTGTCCTAGCAAGTCACTGTGAACCAGGACTGTCACTGGTTTTGGCTTTGGGTTTTTTTTAATTGGTAATTAATTTTGGGTTCTGGGAGCCTGTTGGAATTTGTTTGTGTCCATGTCTATGTACCCCCTACCATTGGGAATCATTGTTCTGAGGACTTCATTGTAGAAGGATTTAGGTTTTATTCTACTGCAGTCAGGCCTTTTTGAGGGGAAGGTGTCAGGATGAGAAAAGTTAACTTCCTTAAGGTCATTTAGGGAGCGTGTGGCTGACCGGAGAGCCAGCTAAGGGTACAAGACAGGGACCCACTGACTTCCTCGATTTTCTTCCAGATAAACCGGGACTACTCTTTCCTGGACTACATCCTGGGAGGCTGCCAGCTCATGTTCACTGTAAGGCTCGCCCCTCACTCCCCTGCTCTCACCCCATCCGGCATCCATCCTGAGGAATTTGGCCATTTACTGCAGCAAGAGACACTTAGGGCAGATGTCAGGAAGGACTTATCCAGGGCAAGGGACCGAGAGGAGAATGCATAAGTGTTTGTTCCTGTCAGACTGCCCTGAGTGAGGGTTAAGCTTCACAGCCCAGAAAGTCTGATGCCTTACATTGCTTCAGAGTTAAAAAAAAAAGTCCAATTCTTTCCAGTGCCCACAAAGCCTCCACCTGGCCATCTTCACCTTCTACCCTCCTTGTTTGCTTGCTCATCTCCAGTACTGTGGACTTCTTCCCTATTTGCCAGATACACCTACCTTAGTTTTGCCTTAGGCTTTGCATTTGCTCTGAATTTTCCCAGAACCTTAACACAGCTCTCCCCTTCCAGGCCTTGGCACAGAAGTCACCTCTTCAGGGAAGCCTTCCCTGATGACACCCCATACCATTCTTCTTTGCCACATCTCCCTGTTGGAATAACTTCACGGCACTTGATACTGTCTGAAATTACCCTCTGTCTATTACCCTCTGGTTTTGGGTTTCCCCCCCCTTGTCTCTATTTGTCCCACCCCAGACTGCGAGTGCCATAAAGGAAGACACAGTGTGTGTGCATTTTTATTTTGTCGCTGCTCTCCCCTCAGCGTGTTGCACAGTGCCTAGCACACAGCAAATGCTCAGTAAATGCTTGCTGCAGACAGTGACCCACAGCGGTGCCTGAGCCGTGGTGTGTAGGTATTCCTCACAGACAGCTCTTACTGCTCCTCATGCCAGGGGCCCCTCAGACCCACTCCGCATTTGGAACGAGCAAGAGCCCTGCAATGTAGCAGTTAAATGCTCAGCTGCTAAAAACAGAAGGTTGGTAGTCTGAGCCCACTAGCTGCTCCCAGGGAGAGAGCTATCATTCTGCTTCCATGAATCTGTCATCAGTTCTGCTCTACCCTGGAGGGTCGCTGTGAATCAGAATGAACTCGGTGGTAAGGGGTTTTTTTCTTTTTCTTTTTTGCAGGTTGGGATAGACTTCACAGCGTCCAATGGGAACCCCCTTGACCCTTCCTCTTTGCACTATATCAACCCCATGGGCACTAACGAATACCTGTCGGCCATCTGGGCGGTCGGACAGATCATTCAGGACTACGACAGGTAAGCTTGGGGAGGGGCTCTGAAGGTCTACCAGGGCTTCAGCCAACCTGAGAAATCCAGTTAGTCAAAATTCAAAGAGACCCAGAGAACATCACATCCAGGAGTGATCATCCCAGGGCACAAAATGCAGTTAGTAGCCTTGTCTGTGCGGGCAGACATTGCTAATCTCCTGTCTTCTGTATCAGCCACTCAGCAGTGGGGCAAGGTGGAAGATGAACTTGACTGCAACTTCCTCTTTTGAAAAGAGCTGAGAAAACAGGGGTCTCAGTTGGAGATGGAGAATTTATGCATCATCACATAGTACAGGGGAACTAGGGCCTACACCCCTCTGATTCCTGGGCCCCGCACTAAATGGCTAAACATCTCACTCTTTTGAAAACATCTAAGGAGGAATCTGTCTGTGTGCACGCTACTTCCTGGGGATTGTTGATGGGGTGGTATTGTGAAAAGTTAAGGAAGGAAAACCAAGTAGAGAGGAAGTAGATCTGTCCACCAACAGGATGGGCCATGGGCAAAGTGGGAAGTGCCCAGTGAGGAACCAGAGCTCGCTGGGGTTGCAGCATCACTGTCACTGAGAGTACTTGCTGGGGCCCCAGATCAGTGTGCAGAACAGCCAGGAAGCCCACACACTGGAGGAGGGGCGAGGGTAGAGGCTTGACAAGGACAAGGGCAGGCTCAGGAAGCATCCCTGTGTGGACCTGACCTCCCAGGCACAGGAGGACGGAGGGTCACTCTCTAATCCTAGGGCATTCAGGTCTTGACTGATCTCAGGACACATCAGGAAAGGTATGACGTTCACAGCAAAGGAGGGAGAAGTCTCCCACCTCGGAGGTCAGATGCCAGAGCCTGGTTTTTACTGTTCCAGCGCCTCATATACAGCTATCCTCTCAAGCTTTGCTTTGAAGCTTCTTGTGGACATTTAGACCCATCAAGACCAAGAGAGCTCTGGACGTCCGCTTAAATCCAGTCTCACGTCTCAGTCACACCTGAGTGAGAGGGCACAGCTGCTCATCTCCAGAGCTCCACTTCTTTTGTTCCCTCTTATCCCACATCCTCTCTCTTTCTGAGAATCTTGCACGAGGTGCTTGAATTCCAGCCTCTTCTCTCCATCTCTCCTGAGGCCACCCCGGTTTGAGCCACCATCCCCTGCAGCCCAGCGTATGGCAGTAGCCTCTCCTCTCCTATCCCTGCCTTTATCCTAGCACTCAGCAGTTTTCTCTTCAAACAGCAGCCAGAAGGATTCTCACAAAGTGTGTGCTGAATGAATGGACACATGGGACACAGTCTCTACCTTGGGGCTTTCTCACTAGAGGGGGAACGAGAGGGAAGAATCACTGGAGTTTTATGGCCAGTTTACATGTGAAGGAGGAGCTATGGGATCCCAAATGCAAAGCATTCCTGGGCACCAGACGCACAGGGAGACACACAGAGAGGAAGGGCATTTACACTTGGGCTTTGAAGATGAGTAGGAGTTTTCCAGGAACAAAGTGGGAAATGACACAATGACATTGAAGATGTGGAGGTACCTGGTACACTGGGGAACAGTGAGTGGTCCTGGATCCTATTAATGAAGGGCTTTGAATGCCACACTGGACTTCCCATTTTAGGAGTTTCCTCCCCAGCCATAAAATGGGAAGTTACGAGACACCTGGTACATTCTAGTACGTTCCATCTTCCATCATGACTCTCTGGTTTATTGGTTGGCAGGGTAAGGGTTGAGAAGGACCTAGAAGCTGCACCCTGGTTCATTGGGTGTTAAGTGCAGTGGTTGATTAGCATACCTGCCACAGTTTAAGATAAATGCTTGAAGATGGCTCTGGGCTCAATAGATCATTCTAACAGCTGCTTCCCGTGGTGGTGAGCTTTCCAGAGCCCACACAGGGGCGGGAGGTTGGCCTGGTCAGGGCGGGCAGATGGAGTCCTGTCCATGTATCATGGTGTTTTCTTAATGTATTTATTTATTTTCTTTTTCACTTGTGGTGTTTTTCACTCTTCTCTCTGACTAGTGACAAGATGTTTCCAGCTCTGGGATTTGGGGCCCAGCTACCTCCAGACTGGAAGGTAAATGTTGCAGCCTCAGTCCCTGTTGGTTGAGACGTTAGGATTTGCATGTGGCCCTTGTGGAATTCACTTTAGGAGGATTTGGGGCTGAAGGCCCAGTTGCCCCGCCTTCTCTGGGCTTACCCTAAACCCATACTCCTCTCCCTAAAGGGAACTTCACAGACCCTGGGGCTATAACAAGAGGTGGGACCATTGCAGTTTCTGCACCCCTGGGAACTACGTCAGATGAGCAAGAGAAGTAGTGTTGCCAGTTAGCAACTAGAGGACACTCAGTTAAATTTGAATTTTAGAGAGACAATGAATCATTCTTTTTTAGTATAAATGTATTCCAAGTATTGTACAGGAAATACTATTGGTTGTTTATCTGAACTTCAGATTGAACTGGCCATCCTGTAAACCCTAAGTATAGGCAGTTTCAGTAGTGCTGAGATGGAAGTAGCAGGATCAAGGAGACCCCAGAAGAGGGATCCTAGCCCACTTTGGGGGCATCAAGGAAGGCTTCCTGGAGGAGGCAAAGTTAAGCAGAAGTAGGAAGAGCAAGAAGGAGTTTACAGAATGACTAAGGGAGCAGGAAATGGACAGAAAGAACAGCCTATGCAGAGGCCGGGAGAGAACCGGAGCAGGGTAAGGTTAGGTCCTAAAGGAAAACGAGGTAACTAGGCCCAGTGGAGACGCAGCGTGGAGGGCATGAGAAGCATATTAAAGCATGGTGGGGAGCGACGGCTGGACGTAGACTTGTGTCAGAGTCAGTTTGTATTTGTGAAGGCCCATTCTGGCTTCAGAGTAAGGATGGCTCAGGGCAGAGGGTAGGTAGGATGGAGGCAGGCGGACCTCAAGGGCACGCCACAGGCTGGAGACAAGAGCTGCCATGGCCCGCTGGGGAGACCAAGTGGAGAGCAGGGGTGATGCCAGGAAGACCTGGGCAAGGACAGGACTGGCTGGATGACCAGGTCGGGGTGGGCCAAGGAGGCACCCAGATTTCCAGCTGACATTGACCAGATTTCTGGCTGGTACTGTGGACTGAGATGGGAAGAGGATGGGTTGGGCTGGCCAAAGGAGATGGTACCATGGGAGGTCCAGAGACTATAGGACAGGAGCTCTGGAGAGGGGACTGCAGGCCTGGGCCTTTTTAACCCAGGCTGGGATGTGGACTCTATGGACTCAGAGAGGTGGGTGGAATTACAAACACCTGCATGTACAAGGCAGGCACGGTGTGTAGACTGAGTCTACGTCCCCAGAGTGGGAAGGAAACAAGGAGTGAGGGGCAGCATAGAAGCCCATGGAAAACGAACCAAATGGTTGGACCCTAAAACCAAATGGTTGAACCTTAAGCTGTGTTCAGGACATAGCTCCATTGGCTACTCCAAGCGTTGCTTAATTCCTACAAAATCCCAAAGAATTTGGCACCTGCAGAGGAAACCAGGGTATAATCTCACACAGGAGTGGGGAGCAGGATCCAAGCTGCCTGCAGGCGGGGTGAGGTGAGGCCTGAGAAGTGGCTGTTCTCTTCAGTGACCCCAGCGAGAGCATCATGGTGGGAGATGGACGGGGTGGGAGAGGGTGGAGGGAGAAGGGACACCACAGAGCGGAAGTGGCGGCTGTGGGATGTGGGAAGCACACAACCTTTGGGAGAGGGGAGGAGACAGGTCAGATGATACTGGAAAGAAGCCAGGAGAGAGGTCGAGGTGAAAAGGGGCCAGTCTATGAGCGGGGCCTGTGGATGAGTGGGGCCTGGCGATCTCCTGTAGAATCAGCTGTTGAAAACCTTGTAAAGCACATTTCTTCTGTGACACACACAGGCTGTGCCATGAGTCACAGTCAGACTCTAGAGCAGCTGCTTTTTTACAGTGGAGTGAGGGGGGCCCTGAGGCACGGCTGAAGGTTGCCCAGGGGCTTGAGGAAGGGATGCCTGATGGAATGTTTTGATGGCCCAGAAAATGAGCACTAGTGCATGCAGCCCCCAGAGTAGAGGCCAGGATGCCCACTGGGAGCAGAAGGCTGCCCTGTTTTACAGAGGAAAGGAAACAGGCAAGGGTGAGAGCAAAGAAGGGACTTGGCCACGGCCAAACTGAGCAGGCCATGGCCAAACTGGGCAGGAGGATTGCAAAGATTGTCCTCAGGCTCTGCTGCTTCCCTGAGAAGAGGGGTGTGAGATGCAAACACAGGGCTCTCCCCAGGGCTGCCTCCCTTCTTGCCTGCGCTTCCTGGGGAAGGATGGTGTCATGTAAAACTTCAAGAGGGACACTCAAGGCAGGCTGGGGAAAGCGGGCATCCTGGCCATGAGAGAGTGTGGGGCAGGGTTCTTCAGAACTCAGGGCTGGGGATCTGGGCAGACACAGTGACATCCCTCTGGGGCGTAGGGGGCAGGCTGGTAAGACCAAGCCCTGCATGAGCCGATGGCTGGGACACCAACCAGCTTTCAAAGAACTCAGGCCTGAGGGCTTGTTTTCTTGCACAAAGGCCTCCTGGGAAATGTCACAGGGCTGCTCTGAGGAGGTTGGGGCTGACCAGCACGTAGGCCAGTGCCAGGAGAGATGCTGGGATGAGCTTGGGAGGGGCATGAGCTCGGTCTGACGTCCTGCCCTGGAAGTCCACCTTGCCGAGCCCCTCACCCTCTTTCTTGTGCTCCCCTCTCCTAAGCCTTGCCTGGCCTCTTGTTGCTTCCTCTCCCCAGCTCCCAACTTAGACCTCTCAGGAGAGCTCACCTCTCCAGGAGACCGTCCCTGCCACTCCTGACCCCATGCACTTGCACTCTCCTCCTAGAGCTGTGGGACCAGGTATCGGACAAATGGGGTCCTAAGTGTCAGGTTTCCTCCAGTTTCACAAGTAGCAGTATTGGCTCAAGGTTCATTTCTATGCAGTGGGTACCAAATATCCCTCCACCCTTCTCACCCGTTCTGACACCAGCTGTCCATCCCATGCCTGTTCGATAATTCTTGAAGCAGCCACATAGATCACATGCATAATTACGGGGTTTGCTAGGGAAGTAACAAGTTACAATTCAGGATCAAGAGTGACTCAGGATACAGTCGTTCTGTCACTACAGCTTCTCAGCTGTGCCTGTGGGCAGGCCTCCCTCTGGCCTTTAACTCCAGGGCCCCCTGCCCTGTTCAGACAAGTGTTATGAATCTCTTTAGCTCCACTTACAAGTTCCCAGAGACCCCACCCAAAAGTAAGCCTCAGTCTGAAGGTGCTTGGCTGTCTCACTGCATGCCCACTGTCGTCACCTTGCTTTGCAGACAGGCAAGCCCACTTCACCATCTTGATCTCCTGGTTCGGCAGCCACCATCTCTCTGCCACTGCTTCTCGCTGTCTTGTATAATCTCCAGTGTTAGTGTGCTCTTGCTCTCCCGCTCTCCCCCTTGCTCTCTCTCTCTTATCTCTGTGCCTTTTTGTCTTCTGGGTCTAGAAGGTTCTCAGCAAAGGGGTCCTAGATCCAAAGGACATACTCCACTCCTGGCTCTTCTTAGAGATAGTTAAGATTCCCCACTTTCTACTTTAGGGATGGAAGAACTGACCAAACTCCTTATAGGGTCCCACCCCTACAGGGGTTCCGTGAACTTGAGTCACATCCTTAACAGACAGTCCAGTTTCATTGATGAGTCACAAATACCTTATTTGCACAATCCCACTCCATCATCTTCTAGCAATTCCAAGGCCATGATGGGAAAGGTCACATAAAAGTGTTTCATCACACCGCAGTTATTTACCTTTTGGGTTTTTTGCTCTTACCTCCCTTCCTAGGCCCCTGACATATCACATGGACCAGCACTGGCACACAGTAGGGGTTCCATATGTGTTGTGAGTCTTGCATTTGGGACTCAGCTCAGTGGATTGAGCAAACGGGATGCTGATTCTCTGAGGATGCAGAGCTGATCGGAAGGAGCAGGCAGACTGCTGGCCTCCTCAGGACCTCTGTCCCCCGGGCTGGGCCAGAGCCCAGAGAGAACCCTTGACTGGATAGTGGCTGGGGACTTGGAAAGGGCTTCCCCTGGGAGATGGCATGAAAGCTGGGTCTTTAGTGACAAGTCAGAGTTAGTCAGATGAAGGAGGGATCTGGACAGAAAAGCAGGTCTGGGGTGGGAGAATACAGTTTATGACTACCCACTTTATAGATGGGGGAACAGAGACGCTCAGGGAGGCCAATTGTTCAGAGATCCCGGCAGCTCCCTTCATGCCCTTTCCCAAAGCCCCCACCCCAGCATCCAGGGCCATGGGGAGCCGAGTCTAGCCCAAGCAAGGTAAACTCATTGATGTCAGAGGCAGCAGGGAGGCTTCCAGACAAAGGCCTGTGACTAGCCGGCCCCCAGGAGCCCCTAATCAGCTTGGTGTGGCTGCCTGGGAGCTTGTGAGGAGGGGCCGAGTGTTTACTGGTCTCCTCCAGCAAAGTCCAGCTGGAAAGCATGTGAGGGGGAGGGCTTCCCCCGGCAACACGGGCAGCCTGTCTCCAGGGCCTGATCCTGGCTCTGCTGGGCCTTGCTTGTGTGACCTGGGCACTCCCAGGCCTCCTCTGAACCTCAGTTTTCCCACCTGTGGAATGGAGCTGTAGGAAAAGGCAGCCTCTGAAGGAGGGCTCTGGGGTGGATGGGTGATCTGACCACCAAAACAAGCCCTCCTCAGCAAGAACCAGTTGTCATTGGCCAAGATGTCCAGAGTGTAAGACATCTGCCCAGCTGAGGAGCCAGGTCTGGAGGTAGAGAGGCAGGGCCGGTCCCCGGAGGGGGCTTGTGATAGATGGCTCTGTGCCCCGAGAGTTCCGGATCCCCACTCTTTTGGTGAGTGGTCACCAAACCTTCTCCTCTAGAAGAAGGAAAGAGTAGCGGAGTGGAGATCTTGGGGGTCAGGAAAGCAAGCTGTTGATCCAGATCTATCATCAGGAGAGCTCTCTTCTCCCATGGTCTCTAAACTCTTTTAAAATCTGATTTTGTGGAAAGTCCTCGGCCCAAGGGAGGCCTGTTTCCTTGGCAACCATTTCCTCTCAGCCCCCTTCAGACAAACCCCTCTATCTCAGTCTCTGTAGAGGCTCATTAAGTCTCCATGGCAACGAGGATCTCTGGCCCCTACACCTGGGACCCAGACTGGGGAACAAGGTGAATGAGGCCCCCTGAGAAGGGACAGGTCTTAAGAAGGACATGGGGTAACTGGCTCCATCCTGGCCCCTCTCCCGGGACTGACATAGCAAAGGCAGAAAACCCTGTTCCCCAGAATGCCTCCTGGTGGCCAACAGGCACAAAGCAGGGGCGGGCCTCCTCACTTCAGCCACGCAAGTCTCTCAGGCCCACTTCTGCTCAGGAGGGCCCAGGAACCTCAATCCAGGTGAGGCTTTGGTCCTCGGCTTCCCATCTGTGGGCTTCAGTTAGCTCTTTGCTAAAATGGGGACAGCACTCATTGGAGCACCTCGGAGCTAAAACATCTGTCTGAGATCACTTGTGTCTGCAGACTAAAGCTGTCCCCTCGCTGCTGAGGTCTGCAGCTCTGCCTCCCAGCCTCTCTTCCCCCTCTTATTTAAGAGGTTCAGGGAGGAACACCTAGAATTAGTAGCGTATGCGTTCTGGAGGCTGTCTCGTGAATTGGTGGGGAAAATCCTCTTCTGTCCCATGTCTCAGTTTCCTCATCTGTAAAACGGAGTGACGCTGTGGGCTGGTGTGAGGAGGAGTGGGGAGAACCTATAGGCATTGAGGTGGCATGCAACAGAGAAGGAACCTGGATGGGATTTTAGTCTGAGGTGCAGGCGAAGAGGGGAGATCTCCATCTGAGCCCCTCTCTGATGTCCCCTGAGCCCTGGGTTCCACAGTCCTGAATCTCCCTGCCCTCACTGCTAGCGAATAGGCTGTATCCTAGCTATCCTCCACCGAGTTTCTGAGGTTGTAACTCCTAACACCCATCTTTCTTCCATGGGGCTATGGGTAGATTCAGACTCCCAGAAGTGGGCAGCCTTTAGGTTTGCAGACCAACCCACAGGGTCTTGGCCCTGAGTGGAGTTTTGATCTTGGTCCTCGGGTGACCAGGTGAACAGCAGGAACCAGTGGTCATTGGCTGAAGGTGACCAGAGATTATGAGATATCTACCAGCGGAGGAGCTAGGTCTGGAGGGAGAGAGGCAGGGCCAGTCCCTGGGGGGGCCTATGACAGACAGCCCCGCCCCCAAGACAACTCTTCCTGATCCCCAGTCGCTGTCACCAGACCCCAGTGTGGCTGGCTGACATGAGTTGGGTGATCTTCCCAGCATGCCTGCCTATGATTGAGGTAGGGAAAACTTGTGAGGTACAAAGAAGGGGATGTCTGCTGATGGTAGACCCAAGATGGTGACACACGGGCCACTACAAGAGTGCCCTAAGAACTCATGAAATATTATGCAGAATGATGACTCTCGAGGACATTATCCTGAGTGAAATATCTCAGTTACAAAAGGACAAATATTGCATAGGGCCACTCTTGTAAAATGGGACTGACATCAGGGTTGAGGGAAGACAGAGAAAGAGGGAAGGAATGATGTGTCCTGCGTTGAAACAGAAGAGGGAGAGAACTGTTTAAAAGGGATGTATGATTGGGTATTGTTGTCATGACAGGAGTCCAGAATGAAGGCTGCATAGTGGAGTGGACTTGGGGGGAGGGACTGCATAACAATGAAAGAGTTTTTTTTCTTTTTCAAGGAGAAGAGTGAATTGGGGAGGGGGTGGGTAGGGAGAAAAGTGCAACAATGAATGACTGGAAACCTTAAGTCTCTGTAAACTTTCATTAAAATTAATTTAAAAAAGAAGAAGATAAAAAGAGTGCCTTGAGCCCTGTGCCCTTTAAGGTGTCCCTGTCCACTCAGGGATCCACAGAGGATTCTGACCTGGGCAGGGAGGCACAGACAACCCTGATCTTCTCAGGATAGACTGGGGTACTGTTGAGAGGTTTCTCTTTTCTCCACTGTGAAATGAAGGTGGCAGGTCAGGGTGGTTAGACCCACAGTGGAAGTCAAAGCTGATGTTGGGATGGTATCCATGGTGCCAACCCGGGGTGAAAGCAGGGCAGGAGTGGGGCCTGGGCTCAGGCAGAGAGGGCAGGAGACTGTCAGCTCAGCACTTTCTCTGCATTTCAGGTCTCGCACGAGTTTGCCATCAATTTCAACCCCACCAACCCCTTCTGCTTAGGTGAGTTCAGCCCACCTGCCTCTGCTCTGGGCTTACACTGACCTGGCCAGTTCCCTGGGCGTGGGGACATGGGAAAGGGAAGAGCGTGCTTCTGTCTACTTTCTCCCCTCCCTTCTGCTTAACACTTACTCAAAATGATAGGCGGGGAAGAACAGGAGTTTGGAGCCAGACAGTCCTGGGTTCAAGGCCCTTTCCTGACTGTGTGATCTGGGGGAGGTCACCGCTCCTCTCTGGGGTTCTGCCTGTTCACCAGCTCCAGGGACATATGATACTTGCTTAGCTCACCTCAAGGGGTGGTCAGGCGAGAATGACGGGAAGCCCTGTGGAGCTGGGAGGTGATGGGGGCTGCACCAGCACCCCTCACCCCTCTACCTCACCTTTCCTGCCTCTCTGTAAGGAGGGGAGGGGCGAAAGGTGGTCCCACCCCCACCCCAGTCCTGCTGCTTGGTTGCCAATAAGGACTGAGGGCTGCCTGAGGCTGATGGGAGGTAGCGGAGGTGACTGGAAGTAGGAGTGGAGTGCTGCCCTGGCTCCACGCCTAAGTGGACCTGTGAGTGTCCTAGGAACAATTCAGACACTTGATTTGTAGGGCAACCTCCACCATCATGAGATAGTGGACAGGCCCCTGCCCTGCTCTGGGCCTCCTTCTCCCCCTTCAGGATTGCCAGAGATTTAGCTCCGGTGGGAGACGTCTCCCTTCCCCTGGGATTCTCAAAGCTGGGCCAGGTTTGTGCTCAGAAGGGAAATGCATTAAGTCTGCAACTGGGGAGTGATATGGGACCCCAAAACCATGGGCACTGGTCACCTGGAGGAGCCCTGTGGCCTTGCTGGGGCTGCCTGGTTCGGAGCAGGGTCCAGAGACGTTTTGTCCTGGTTCACGCAGGCTGACTTTATCTCGATTTGAGGCTTTCTGGCAGGAGCCCAGCGCAGGGGGCATATTTCTTAGGCTCACAAGGCAGCTACTTAGAGAGAATGGTGCACAAGCATCTCACTTAATCCCCTAAGCACTTTAGCAGGTAGGGGCTCCCTGGGGTCTTCTGCAGCATCACTGTGGGGTTTGCCAGCCGCCCCCCCCCCCTTCTGTAAAGGGCCTGCTCGGTCTCCCTCCTTTGAACAGAGTAAGGTCTGTCTGTTCCACTGACAGCCAAGGAAACTGAGTGGTTTGCCCTCAGGTTCCACAGCTCAGAAGTGGCAAAGGCAGAATTTGAATTTGAACCCAGATCGGACTGCTGAAAGTTCAAAGTTGTTGGTTTTTTTCTTCCTCTCACCCTGTTCTCAGCGCTTCCGCTCTCCTGGGGCTGACTAAGGCCACAGTCGGGGGCACTTTGGTAGCCATGGGGCTGAGAAAGGGGTGCAGGGTGGGTGTGACGTCTGAGCCGTCAGTCACTGGGCTGACCCTGCCTCTTCTCCCCGAGGCAGGCGTGGATGGCATCGTCCAAGCATACTCAGCTTGTCTGCCACACATCCGCTTCTATGGTCCCACCAACTTCTCCCCCATCGTCAACCATGTGGCCCGGTTTGCCGCTCAGGCCACGCAGCAGCAGACAGCCACGGTGAGTAGCACCACAAGCGTGGGTGTGAGAGGGGTCAGGCCTAGCTGCCTGCGGTGCTGAAGTCCAAGGTCTGTCCTCTCTACACAACCCCTGACCCCATGAGTCTCAGGAGTAGGATTCTCTGCCTAGACAGTGAATAAGGATGACAGAAGATTCAATGCTTTTGAGTTGCGCTGGAGAAGAGTATTGTATATACCATGAATTGCCAAGAGAACAAACAGATCTGTCCTGGAGAGGGTGAAACCAGGTTGCTCCTTGGAAGCATGGATTTTGAAACAGCATCTCACATACTCTGGGCATGGTGGCAAGGAGGGACCAGTCCTTGGAGAAGGACATCATGCTTGGAAGGGTGGAGGGTCAGCACGGGAGAGGAAGACCCTGGATGAGATGGATTGACACAGTGACTGGGGCAATGGGTTCAGGTGTTTCTGAGACAGTAAAGTTGGCTAAGAACAGGGCATGGCTCAGAGCAATGAGCATTGCTCATTGGGTCGCTATGAGTCATAGTCGATTCAAAGGCTTGTAACAAGAAGACGGTAGGGTTAGCAGGACGGGGAGCAGTGTGGCTGAAGTCAGCAGTGGAAGGTGCTGTGGATGAGACAGTGTAACTACAATCAGCACGGGAGGATGGGGAGCTTTGGAAGGGGGCAGCGTGGCTGAGGGTCAGAAGAGGGCAGGGGGAGCTGTGGATGGAGGCAGAGTGGCCGAGGGTAAGGAGGGGTGGGGCGGCATTGCTCATCACTGCTGTAGGCCTGGTCCTGATTGTGAGTTCTGTCCTCTCCTATGAAACACGATGCGTAAAATCTCCCAGGGCAGGGTTGGGGCAGCCTGAAAGGGGCAGTGTAACTGGGAGAGAATTCTTATATAAAGTTCTGTCTTGTGGCATGGTGGAAGGCTGGTTAGAGGAGACAGAGAGAGAGAGAGAGAGAGAGAGAGACATAGGTTTTTCAATGGAAACTTTGGATGTCAGCTCAATAACATGGGAAAACCTGCCTTTTTGTTTAATGAGGAAAAACACAGGGTAGGAACAGGTGACAGGGTAGTATAAAGGCATGCTTTCTCACCAGCTACCCTGAGAAGGGGTAGGGGTGAGGTGCTGGACTTGGGCAGGAGATGTGGTCTTGCCGGCTGTGGACCTAGGTCTGGAATGGGGTGTTGACTCTAGGGAGATGAAGAAAGATGTCTGTGTTCTGGGGAACTTCCGGTCCTCAGTGGAAAGAACCCTGGCCCTTTCTTTGAAGCCAAAGGACACTGAATGCTCAGGCTGTCTGCACCACATCCACTGTTTCTCAGCCTGCTCCCCATGGTCCAAGGCATTCTCCTCCTGCTGGTTCCCACTTCAGGAAGTTCCTGCAGCCACCCCAGCTCTGTCACTGACCTCAGCTGCGTGAGGGATTCAGGGCCTCTTTTCAGCCCCTCCTTCTCTGATGTCCAAAGATAGCCACTTCTCTGCTCCCACCTTTTACATTATCCCTGTCTCCAGAACCCCGAAGGTGACAGGGTAGGCTACCTGATGGTTCATTCACAAGCTCTGGAGTCTCTTCCACCTGGTTCAGATGCAAGCACCCCGACGTCCTGGAGCAGAATGGGAGCCAAGTGTTTCCAAGGTTCTAACTGCCGTGGCAGCATGAGGAGCTTAAGCTCTGAGCCTGCTTCCTTCCCCGTCCACTGGGAATTGTGGAAACACTGGCCACTTTCTTTCTTTTACTATTTTGTATGTCTGTGCCGTCGAATTGGATCTGACTGGCACAGGAGGAGATTGCCCCTCCTTCTCCAGCAGAGCATCTGGTGGATTTGAACTGCACACCTCTGGGATTGCAGTGAGTGTCCACTTTCAAAGGCACTGGGGCGGGGTGGGGGTGAATTCACCCGGGCAGGCACGTAAACGGCTCTGTGCCATGCCTGTCCCCCAGTTAACGTGGGCTGTTGATTCTGGAGGTGCCCCTCGGGCCGGCAATTGGTGGTGCCACCGAATGCATTAGGACCAAGGCAAATGGGACTAATGTGTGGGTTATGGATGTGATGCTTTTGTGCAGCTCCTCTTTGGGGAACTCATAAGTCTCCACCCTCACTGTCCCCAGATACACATTCACAAAGAAGAACTAGAAGGCAGATGGCAAAAAGCATCTCTAGGGGTGCCCGCAGGCTCCTGCTCCCTCACTTGAGTGGACTGCTGCCGGGCACCCGGGAGACCACGAGGAACGGGAGGCAGGCACCTTCGGGGTTCAGTCTAGCGGGAGCCAGCACAGCTGTGATGCACCACGGCTAAGTTTAGGGTGAAGGGGATCCAGGATCATAAAGGCAGGCACCTAACGTAACCTTAGCTAGCAGCCGAAAGGTTGGAGGTTCTGACCCACCCTCTCTGCAGGGGAAAGGCCTGGCAATTTGCTCCCATGGAAACCCCGATGGGGCCATTATGCGCTGTCCCATGGAGACAGGAGGAGTCATAAAGCAAAATCAATAGCACCGGACAGCAACAGTAGAGACGGAGGAGCCACAGATAGCTTCTTGGCAAAGGCACAGCCAAGCAGAGACTGCAAGTTTGCTAAGAGCTTGCCTTACAGAGAGGGTGAGGGGGTGTGCCAGATTAACATGCGCAAAGTCCAGGAGGCACAATGTGTGCAGCTAACTGAAGGAAGGAGAGTGGCCCTTGCTGGCCAGTCTGTGTGAATTTATAGTGAGCTGTGGCTCTTGCTGGCCAGTCTATGCTAATATATAGTGACCCCTATAGAATTAACTGCCCCAGAGCGTTTCCAAGGTTGTAATCACAGTGGCAGTGCATTGCCACTCTCTAGAGCAGCTGGTGGGTTTGAACTGCCAACCTTTCTGTTAGTAGCCAAGTGCCACCAAGGCTTCTTCAAGTGGGAGCAGGTTAAGGAAAGGTAGACAGGGTTCCATGCGGCCTCGGAGGCCATTGAGGAATCTGAGTTTTCTCTGAGGGGTGGTGGGAAGGCAGTGCCTGGCTCAGGTGAGGCCGGCTGGCATCCATACTTCCCTCTGAGCACGGCCGATTGCTGGGTGGCCTCCTGGAAGTCAGGTGTCCCAGTAGGAATCCCCCCTACAACCCTGCCATCCTCAAGGCCCTTCACAGCTTTTCTGAAACAAGCCAGGAAGTACGCCACTGCCCTAGACACTGCCTGGAACTGTTGTGGAGTCAATGGCTTAGAAATTAAGTGCCTTAGAGGAAGCCCTAGAAATCGGAAGAATCTCTGGTTAAAGGCAAGAGGTACTGTACCTTGGAAAGAATTTGGGAGTTTGGGTGTGGGGTCCAATCTGACGGTGATCGGCCTGTGTCCCTGGATCACTGACTGTGGGGTGCAGAAAAGGTGCCCTGGAGAGCACACAGGATGTGGGGTGAGTGGGTACCCCAAGGAGCCCTCCTGAGAGATGATTACTGAGAAGAACAGAGTTCAGGCGGCGCCTAGGAAGATGGGCCATGAGGAAAGATGGGGAGTTGTGGTTATGAGCAGTATGTCCAGTAAAAGGAATAGAAACCGGGAAGGCATGGAGGTGGGAAAGCCCAGGGTTGGCAGATCAGGACTATGTCAGGGGCTGCGGACTCTGAGATGCCTTTCCGCCCAGCCCACCCCGTCGTGCCTTTACTTCCCTTCTACGGCCTCCCTTCTGAACTGTTGGGTGGAAGGGAGGACCCTGGGGTTGGAAAAAGCTTCGAGGCTTCCAGACGCCTCATTAAGGCTGGGCTGAGCACGAAGCCCAGGAAATGTCAGTGGCACTTCTTCCTCCAAGGCTGGTCTAGGCTGCTGGCCCTCAGGCCCTGCTGGGCAGAAACCGGGGCCAGGTAACTGGGTGTGGGCATCGTGGAGGGCTCTGAGGTTGAAGTCCAGCACAGTGGCTCTGCTGGTGGAGTGAGAGCAGCCAGGAGAGGGGAGAGCTTCTCCCTGCCAGGCCCCACTGTTGGGGAGACACTAGAGCCACTGATGACTTGGGAGAGTGGAATGTTGGAGAGAACCGGCTTCAGAGTCAGCCAGGTCTGTGCTCTGACCGCCCGGCCTTCGTCACTCCACTTCTCCGAGTCTGTGTCTCTGAAGCAGGACTCAAAATGTATGGTGACAGGTAGCGTCCGTGTTACCCTGTCTTGGCACCCAACGTCTTGCAGGACCCCAGGCCTGGCTGCCTCTCCTTCCTGGGAAAGTGGCCATGGGGCTAAGAAATGCACTCGGGCCTCCAGAATGGACATGGGAGAGTCACAGGGCTTTGCCAGGAGGACAGGGGCACATGCATGTGCTGAAAAGGCAGGGAAACAAGGCCCACCCTGCCAGCGACTGTGGGGAATATGAGATCAAGGCCATTCTTGCCTTTCCTCATTGCCAGGCCTCTTCTTACCCTTTCTCCTGCCAGCCTAGGTGCCCAGAAATACAGTCCTGGACTATTTCTGGTGAGGTGGTGGTAGTGGGTCTCTTAATGGAAGGAGTGCTGGAAAGATAATGGAACATTGTGAGGCTCATGGGGCCCCCCCTCACCTCAGGGATCGGAGTTTGTCACCAGTTGCCTTCCACTGAGGGTTCAGGCTGCCATCACCATGGCAATAGGTAACCCCAGTCAAGGACCGACCTTTTAAAGCACAGAGCAGGAGCTGGGCCGCTACGGGAGCCAGGGCTTCACATGGCAGTGCTGTCCCTCCACGGGGAGCTCACCTGGCTGAGTTACTCCCCTTTATGCTTAGGGAATAGGTGAGGAAGTGGGGCTCCCTGGCGAGCAGATGGCTTTGGGAGTAAGAAGGTGGCCTTCTATCAGCTTCTATAGCTCCATCTGGGCCCTCATTTCCTGAGCATCAAAATGGTGAAAGCTTCAAACAGAGAAGTTTAGGACCACAAAATAGATATACCCAAATTTACTTTATGGGTGGGATAAACAGAATTCCCCCTCAAAAGGGCAGAGCTGAGTTAAAAGTCAAGACTTAGCGACTTGGAGTCCCAGGGCCCTTCCCACAAGACAGTGGGGCCAGCTTTCCGGAGCTTCATTCATTCACTTCCCGCCTTCACAGTTTACATGACATCCACAACTCACCCACACCAATTATTTTTTTACTTAAATAGATTTTACAGAGGAAACTTTCTATCTCGCTGCAAATGAGAAGTCAGTGTTACCGGCCATAAATATTTTAAAAACCCTCCAAAATAGAGGGTAACAGTAAAAGTAAACACAACAGAATCTGTAAGATGGTAGAAGTGAGGTTGGAGGAAGTTGTCTTCTAAAGCCCTGAGCTGCCTGCCTGCTGCTGTCTTTGTGAGAAAGAAAGGCGGAAGAGGGCCGAAGGCACCTCAGTGCCAAATGAGGACTTCCTAGGACTGGAAGTCATTCCATAGTACTGCTCCCGCTGCCCCTGGTATATCATCCCACATCTGCTTGGTTACCTGCAGAGTACTGTGTTCCTAGACATAATGTCAGAGCCCCTGCAGAGTGTCCTAGGCTAGGTCGGGTCCCAGGCCCCAGGTTCATGCCCAGGTACCATAGAGAAAGGGCAGTTGGTGTCAAGCACCCAGGATGCATCCTTCTCCTTCAGCAGTGGGCCTGCCTGTCAGGAGGCCGCCAGCGTTGAGTAAACTGCTGCCGCAGGTTAGCACGTTACCTCTGTGCGCTGGATGTAACAGCTCCCACTTTGCAGATGAAAGAAATGGAGGGCCAGGCAGTTGAATGGGTTACCCAGAGTCGCACAGTGAGGTCATTAGCACAGGCGGGTCCTGAGTCCACACTGGAGCCCTGGGCTTCCAGGTTCCAGAGGAATCTATGATGACCGCCAGAGAAGGGGGAGATGTGTGCTCCCAGCTGTGACCAGGGCAATGCTGGAACAGATGAAAGGCCTACAAGAGCAGGTTGTCGGAGGAGGTGGCCTGGCTGGGATTTGACTGAAACCTAGAGAGGGCAGGGGAGCAGCTCTGCTTTCCTTCCTGGTGGTCAGAGAGGTTTAAAGAGGGATGGAGGGGGGAGGGGAGGGACACAGTGACGTCAGGGCCCTGCTGGTATGCCCACGTGAACCTTCTTACAGCAATACTTCATCCTCCTCATCATCACGGACGGTGTCATCAGTGACATGGAGGAGACCAGGCACGCTGTGGTGCAGGCTTCCAAGCTGCCCATGTCCATCATCATCGTGGGTGTGGGCAATGCCGACTTTGCGGCCATGGAGTTCCTGGACGGGGACAGCCGCACGCTGCGCTCCCACACGGGTGAGGAGGCGGCCCGGGACATTGTGCAGTTTGTGCCCTTCCGTGAGTTCCGCAATGTGAGTACGGGCCAGGGTGGGCAAGGGGACAGGAGGTCAGGGCCAGGGGAACGGGGCCAGGATGGGCAAGGGGGCAGGGGGCAGGGTGGGCAAGGGGACAGGGGGCAGGGGCCAGGATGGGCAAGGGGGCAGAGTGGGCAAGAGGGTAGGAAGTCAGGGGCAGGGGGCAGGGGGCTAGGACCAGGGCCAGGATGGGCAAGGGAGCAGGGGACCAGGGGTTAGGCACAGGGAGGGATTCATGGCAGAGATAAGACTCTCCCCACCAGAGATGACAGGCAAGGATAGAAGTCTTGGGGTGATATGCCCCACTTCCAGGCCTTTTCCCCAGCTCTCTGGCCACACTCACTGAGGCCTGTGGGCCCCCAGCAGTGGCACCTGGGGGCCAGTGTGCTCATGAACATATGCCTTAACAATAGGGCAGGACTTCTGGGAGGGAGGGTGTGACCCCTGACAGCTTCTGAAATGTTATCCAGCTGGGTGGAGCACATTCCAGCAGGAGGAGGCATGAGGGTACCTTACTTACTGATGACAACCTCAGGGTGGCCTTCTCTCCTGAAGACCACTGTGTCTTAACTTTATATGAGGAACTAGTGACCTCCACAATGTGGCTCTGTTGCTATATGCAGTTGACCCAGGTCTGCCCTGGGCTGGGGTCACTGGTTACTGGCCTGGCTCAGCCTCCGTTGAAGAGCCCCAGACACCACTCCTGTTTGACCAGCCTGGGACTAACCCTTAAGAGTCCAGAGGTGCGGTCTTGGGCAAGCCCCTGACCACCCAGCCTTTGTCCATCATCATCGTGGGCGTGGGTACAGATTCTGTCTCTGGCTCAGATTTTGGGAGTCAGTCCTAGTAAGAAGTGACCCGTTGTTTGGTACCCAGTGGTCCTCAGAGATGGGCCCCGTGCCCTGCTGGGTGTATCTCTGGTGACATGATCAAGAGGATTGCTCCTTCGTGCACAGAGCATGTGCTATGCAGCTCCACACCGTCACCCATCACGGGAGAGGGTGCTCAGTTAAATGTCTGTCAGAAGTGTGGGCTGTGCAGCTCGCCTCTGCTGTCTTTCCTTAAAAAGCCTCCCACAGATAAATCCATCGACAGTGTTACTCTCAGGCTTCTCAGTTGCTCAAAGGAAGTGTCAACACTAAGCTGCATTAAGACATTACTAATGGTGGGGTTCCAGGTATGGACTGGGGTGAGGAATGGAGGTTTTCAACAGCGTGCCTCTTAGTCTTAAGATACCTTCAGTAGGAGCTTGCTGGGCTCAAGGTCTCACAATAGAGAAAAGTTCCAACTGTTAATCCTCCTCCTCTTCCTTCTCTACTCCACGTCACTCCTGCAGGCAGCAAAGGAGACCTTGGCCAAAGCTGTACTGGCAGAGCTGCCCCAACAAGTTGTGCAGTATTTCAAGCATAAAAACCTGCCCCCCACCAACCCGGAGCGCGCCTGAGTGCCAGCCGCACCTAGCAGCATGCCGCCTCAGCCAGCCAGCCTCCCTCCCCCGAGAACATGCACGCTCACCCTGCTTTCTGTGAGTGGCCTTTTTAAAAAAAAAACAAACTCAACACCCACAAACCCAACAAGACAAAACACAACAACCCAAGCATCTCTGGTCTTTGTTTGCTTTTTTGTTTTACAACTGGACTTCCGGCCCTGACTTCCCCCAGCCCAGCTGGGCTCCCAGTCGACTGATGCTGCTTCCGGTCAGGCTGGCTTCCCTATCCCCTTCCTCCTCCGCCAAGTATTGAATGTACTTTGTATAATTTTTGTGGAATTGTTGTTATTAAAGAGAATAAAATTTTTACAATCCTAGCTGGCTTTTCCCAAGTGACTGACTGCTCATTCCAAAAGGTTGGTCTCTCCTGGTGTCCACATCTAAAGTCTGCATCTTATTTCCTGCCCTGATTTTTTAATGGTGTGGCCAGGTTCTGTTATACTCAGGATAGTAAAAGAATTTCATGTCCCTGCATCTGGCCTTCCTCAGCTGGGACCCATTCATCTGAGGAAGACCAGCAAAGAAAATTCTTTTAGCCCCAGACAGCCTGAGAGGGGACATTGGGAACACGTATTCCACAAAGACCTTCACGGAAGGTAGCACCCTGTACATCCCCCATTGAAATGCACTGTGCCTCACTGACGTAGGTCTCCTGAGTCCCTGCAAAGCTCACCCCAGTGTTTCTGGGGGACCCCACATGCTGGTCCTGGCCATGTCTATATTGTCTTGTTTTTCTTCCTCTGTTTTGTCTTGTTTTCTCCCAAAGGGCAGCAATTGCTGCAACTATTCCACATCATCTCCCAGCCAGTGGGGTGTTAGTAGTCTGTAGTGTGTAGAAGCCTCTTTGGCCTTGGGATCCCAGCAGTGCTATTTTGGCCCCACATTTCCCAAGGCCCCGCCGACAGCATTCACTGCTTCCACCACATCTCCCTCTCGAGGTGCTAGTGCAGTGCCACACAATCAGCCAGAAGACCAGTCTGAAACACCAGCATCCTCCTCCCTTCCACACACTCACTCTCACCCACCTGCCCCTTGCAGAAGCAGTCAGGCCATGGGGCTTCTGTGTGAACACCACCACCTGACATTTCTATAAAGAACTGGGTTCGTGGAACTGCATTAAGTGCTTTATATGCCTGTCCATAGCCATTAAAATTCAGGAGGGTATGTAGTGGTAAGAATATGGCAACCCCCCCCCACCCCTGAACTCCCAGTGAGGCCAAATTACTCTGAAACAAAAGGCCACATCTGGGATATGATCTTGTACATGGATGGCATGCTAAAACTGAACTAGGAGAATGACTCCACCAGTGAGGCCTGGGCACTGGCATTTAAGAATTTCTTTGGCACCACACAAAGACATTAAAGCATAGCATTAAAGGCTTAAATTTAAATTCTGGTTTGGTTACCCAATTTTCAAGCGCTGTTAAGTCACTGAGCCACTAAGAATTCGGTTTCCTCTACAAAATGTACAGAAGGGCTATTTTCCAGGACTTCAGAAGGAAAACACAAATGTTCACACTCTTGTTATATGTGTTGAGTCCGAACTGACCCGTAGGTGCTTTTAGAGGCACTTAGTTGCATGGGGGAGATTGCCCATCCTCTCATGGAGCAGCTTGTGGATTCGAACCATGTGCCTTCAGGATTGCAGTGTAGGCCACCAGCGCTTCCTCAAGTTCACACTAATAGTCAATAAATGTTCCCAAGCAGTGCTTGGCCCTTACACAGCATGCCCTCTGTATTCTGTGAATTAAAGCAGCAAATTGGCAGAAGAACTGAAGCCTGGGGAGGAGAGTCGTCTTTCTAGGTTTTCTTGTCTCTTCTGCAAAACTCCCAACACTTAAGTCACATTCTGCCTGATGTGGCTGTAAATCCAAACTTCACTCCCAGCCCAGTCGGGTAGGGGAGCAGAATCCCAGCCTCAGAAGTGTCATGGAAGCATGAATATGTGACAGCTGTGTTCAGCCTGTGACTACAGAACTTGCCAAGATTCTTGCCTCCCACTGAGCAGGACTCGAATTCCACACTGCTCTGCTCAAGTGGGCTGGCACATCAGGAAATCCGGAAAACAGCCAGGTCCACGGGATTATGCACTGCCACTAAGTGCTCCTGTTTGTTTTTCTGGAGGAGCTTAAGACAACAGCTGAGCCACATGCCGGTGGCTAGGACGCATGAGCCAAGGAATGGGGTGTGAAGAACCAATTCACGTTTAGCTAAATGGAGAGCATGCAGCAAAGGCTGGTGCCTGGAAACCGACGACCAAATCTGACCCTTCTGCATGCCAGGGTTCTCACAGCAAGTGACCAATGCAAGTAGGACTCCTTAAGCCGCACCGTGGAAAGCTCCAGGGGTAGGGACTTCTGTTTTATTGGTGTAACCCTTACTGAAGCTGTCTCTGGTCTGCAGGGAGTGCACGTCCTCTTCACTCTCCGCCAACAAGCTTGTGTCATCTGCTTAACAGGCTGTTAATGAGTCTTCAATCTTGATGTCACATTCTTCTTCACAAGAATCCAGCTTCGCAAAATTATTTGCTCACCACTAGACCAACGGTGGCCTCCTGGTAAGAAAGTACATTGCAATCCCAAAAGCACATGCTTCAAACCAGCTGCTCTGTGGGAGAATGATGGACAGTCTCCTTCCGTGCAATTAACTGCCTCTGAAAACACGCTGGAGGGTCAGCTATGGGTCGGTTCTGACACAACGGTACACAACAACAACAGACCAACAGACAATATCATGATAGATGAACAAACACTGAAGTCAGTTGTCAACAATTTCATTTTACTTGGATCCATAATCAATACCCTTGATAGGAGCAGTCAAGAATTTGAGACGTGCTGCATTGAGGAAATATGCTATCCAGAGTTCTAAAGAGCAAGGATGTCACTTTAAAGATTAAGGGGCACCTGATCCAAGCCTTGGAATTTTTCAGTCACCTCCTATGCATCTACAAGTCAGACTAGTGAATAAGGAAGACCAAAGAATCAATGCCTTTGAATTATAGTGTTGGTGAGGAGTATTGAAGAGGCCATGGACTGCCAACAGAACAAACGAATCTTGGACGAAGTGCAACCAGGGTGCTCCTTAGATGCAAGGCTGGTGAAACGTCATCTCACCGACTCTGGGCATATTTTCAGAAGGAACCAGTGTTTCAGGGGAGACAGCATGTTGGGGAAGGTCGAGGCGAAGGAGCGGAAGGCCTTCAAGGAGGGGCTGACACAGTGACGGCCACAATGGTTTTAGGCACGACAGACTGTGAGGATGGTTCAGGATAGGGCAGGGCTCCTGTCTTTGTTCACAGGGTCACTGAGTCCTACTCAACTCGGCAGCACATAACAACAAGGGAGTTTCTGGACCTCGCATCTAGAAACAGAATGAGGACTAATTCCAGTCAGCATAGCTGCCATTTACCTCCAGACACTACATCAAGGGTTAGAGTTTAGGTGCTCTGGTGGCAGGCTGCACCGTTAACCACAAGGGCACACATCTCTGGTGGTCTATGTCCACCACTGACTCCATGGAAGAAATGTGGCAGTCCCCTCCTGTCAAGATTTACCACCCTGGAAACTTGCAGGGTCACTGTGGGTCTGAACCTATGGTCCAAGTTACCTTTACCTCACGAGGAAGCAGGTGTTGTTATTATTCCCATCTCCTGAGTAAGAAACTGAGGCCCAGTGACGTCAAGGACTTTGCTCAAAGAATACAGCAAGTAAATATCTGGCATCAAGCTCACACCCACTATGCTTAATCCCCAGACTGTAGAACTGGGCTGAGTTCCTGAGAAGGAGAAGCAAAAGCAGTGAAAAGGTCTTAGGAGGGAAGATTTTTCTCTCTTGGGTGGAAAGGAAGTCCTAAGAAATTCTAAACCGATGACGAGTCAAAGAAATGAAGATGCAAGGGACTTGCATAGGAGTACCTCATTAAAGGTTCCTGATTCCCAGTCTAGAATGTTTGGGGTGGGGGGGGAGCTAAAAATCCTCCACTCTCTGGACTTGGGAAAACAACTTCCTCTCCTTCCGAGCCCTGGAGACCAGAGAAGGCACACATGAAAAGCCAGCCAGTCAGCTATCTGGGGCTGGTCTTGTCCATGATTCTGTTTTTAATGGAGAGAAAACTGGATGCTGTGAATGCCATGCTCCTTCTTCTCGCCCAAGCCTGGTAGATGCCAGGACCAAAGATGGCTAGAAGTGGCTCAAAGTCACAGATGATGCAATCTGGATACCCAACCCCAAGGAGAACTGGCAACCGGATTCTTTAAACACTGGTTTTCTCTCTATTATGATTCAAGAGTTGAAAGAATACACCAGCTCAAAAGAATCTTAAGTAGGTTTAAAGAAACTCATCCCAAACTTGATTTTATTCTGTTTTTCCTAGTTATAAAATGCAGTTATTTATTAAGGTGCAAGTGCTGTGTTTCTGCCTCCATCTAGCCTTGATCTATTGTTTCCTTTGAACTACAAGGTGTATATGGAATGCTTCCCTGGGTGCTCGGTCTCTCTGTTAGAGGGCACATCTTGCTTTCCTGTTAATGGTTCCTACAGAAACCATGTCTCTGTTCCAGTACTTTAATGGATAAAACAGAATACTGTAAATGTACCAGAGATTTTCAACCTCTTCCCAAGACACCAAGAAAAGAAATACCAACTTTCTCAACACAATCTAGAAGATTCCAGAGATGGAGACAGATAAAGGAAAAGCAAGATGTTGCTGCTTTTCCAATAAAGGAAAAGCAAGATTTTGTTCTCTGACAGGTGTATTAGTTTTCAAGTTAATGTATGTTTTTAATCCCTGCAGCCTCATATCATCAACTTCATCCAATATTAACAGTGGTCACAAGGTACAGTAATGGCTCTTAAAAAAAGTCAAACCACAGAATGACTTCTGATGACTTGCTCTCCCTTCTGAAATGATCTGAGGTTGTGTTAGCATGTGCTATAATAACAGCACAATCTCAGGAAACAATGCAGCCGAGAAGCAGAAAAGACCTCCGCAGTTTCCCCTAACCATTTTATTAGGCTGCGACTGACATGCCTCTGACAGTCAGGAGTGACAGCACTGAGCAGCTCTGAAAAGGAGGAAGAATTCACAAGGCATCAGGGAGAAGGAAGTCAGCAGCTGCCAGTGGGCACCGGAATGGCACTGCCTTGGAAGAGGGAAAGGAGTAGTCTGGATGAGATCCAGGGACCTCGCTGCCCACGTTAAAACTGAGTAGCGAGCTTCTCTGCCTGCCAGCATCACAGTGTCAACACATTCTGCGTGTGTGTCTCTCCGTCTTATACTGAAGGAAGCTGAAATAATTGATGTTGAAACCCTGGGAAGGAAAAACTAGTCCAGGTTCATTTTCCTGGGTAGTAGGAATCTCCAGTTATGCGTTTAAGTCCATGTCTAATTGTGTCCTACAAATCTCCATACCATCTAGCTTCATCCTCCCTGGAGGACCAAATAAAGAGGGGGAACAGTACCTCTAGGTCTTTGTTATTCACAGCCTCAGAGCGATCCTGTTGGGGACACCAACGAACAGCAATCAAGAACAGATGAGATCAGGGAAGCACTTTCAGCCTAGAAATAGCTTCATCCATAGTTAGTTAAAAGTCCCAACTGTAATATGTACCAAAGAGAGGAGAATCTCAACAAAGTCTGGAGTACAGACAGAACTCCAGATGTCTCCCACTGGATTTCAATATTAGGATTTCAAGAATTGTCTTTAATAAGTCTTCTTGGAACATGAACATATCTATCAACAGTTCTGACTTATGGCCATGACTCAATAGGGCCTTTATTTTTTTTTTTTAACTAAAGTTTAGAATCTTAAATTGTTTATTGAAAACAAAACCCAAACAATTTGCCAGAGTAAGGGTATGCGGGAAAGACGGAGGCTGTCTGTGTTTATCAGGCCTTCTCTGTTAGTGGGCATACATAGAATTCGATGCAGAGAGAGGGCAGACGGCCAACAGTGAGGGGAGATGTCAGACCGAAGGAAGAGCATTAAGACGCTCCCTGCAGATAGAGTTCATCATCTTTACTTAGTCATACAACATCAAGAATTGCTTAGTTTCTGGGGAGTGTCCCATTTCACCCCCGAGGCCAGTTTTCCCCCCAGCATGCTCGACAATGGCAATGCCTCCAAACAACATCTTCGCCTGTAATCAAATGTGTCAACAGTACCTGCACAATAACGCTTACTGTTTTTGTGCTGTTTGGAAAGAAAAAACAAAAACGCAAGAGAACAATGAGACCTACACCCCCAGCAAGCCAGCGGAGCCCCTGCTTCCAGGGCACTGTTAGTGGTCCCGGCCAAGCCTGCTCCTCACGCTATGGGTTCACGGAAGGAAGAGGCGGTGGGACAGGTGTGGTCATCTGCACTGGACAGAGAGAAATCAAACACAACTGTGGGCCCCAAGTGGATTCTGGCACATTCTTTGGTTAGGTTAGTGATGTCACGGTACGCACAGCAAGCAGGCAGAGGAGGTTTTTTGGAGGGAGTCAATGCCTCTCGGCAGAATCAACTGTCCAATCTACTCCTAGGGAGGAGGGCCGTGTGGTCAGGACTCCCAGCTAGGGGGCCTCAAGGAAGGTGTTGGTTCGAAAAATAGAGGAGACGATCTTCCCCGTGGCGTTGATGGTGCCTTCGCTGTCTGAGCTGGACTCTGAGTCACTGCTCCCCGAGTAGGCGCCCAGGCCTGGGAGAATGCCAATACAGACGGCAGCGGAGGGGCAGTGGATGGAGGGGCCGCTCAAAGAAGTGCTTCCAAGAGACATACACGAGGAGGTTTCTGAAAAAAAGGAGGAAAGCTTTTTATAGCACCCTCACCTTTTCAAAGTGTGTGTGTTATATTTACCATACGCCTAGCCCTGTGCTCATAGACGCTTCACAACTACCTTACGCAGTCATTCTCATTGTATAGACTGGGGAACTGAGGGAGGAACTTGAAGAAGGGCTATGTCTCGCTCGAGGGGAAGAGGCACAACCAGGCTTACACCAACGTCCACCGCACTCTCCTCCTTCATTTCTCACAAGGACGGCAAACCACCCTGGAGTGCTGTCTTTCAGTCTGACTTTCCTGTACCTGAAACCGGTCACCGGACTACAAACGGGATGCATATCTAGCCCCTCTCTTGGGTCACACCAGAGCAAGAAACACAGTGAAATACAAGGACTCCCACAGGTTCTCAACCATGGGGACAAAGCTGTATTAAGAGAGATGTTGTGAGCAAACAATCCTATTCTACTCAATTCTCTGGTGGCACATTACACCATTCCAGATCTACTGACCAACACGCCAGCTAGCCCGGGGTAACCCCATCGTCAGCCTGCTGCCCTAAAGACAGAAACCCTTCATCTAGAAAGCAGAGAACTCACAAATTTAGGTAAAGTTTAGAAGTCTACGCTGCCCCTTTTCTTCCCTCATGTTTACAGCCTCACTGAATCATTACCAACCTGAAGTGGTAGGTAATACTCTCATTTTACTGATGAAGAAGGTTAAATGTTTTGGCTAAAGTTACACGCCATTTACAAGCAGAAAATGTTACACTACATCTGACCGGTTACTTGGAAAGTGAATTTGTATTAAATGATTTAGCAAAATATACTATTTTGTCAAGTGCTTCAAAGGTGAATTTTAGGATCTATCTTCTATAGAAAAGAGGGTGACATCCAAAGTACATACAAGGGATTAGAGCTGGCCTGAGAGAAGGGATGGAAGCCAGCCACAAAAATGCAACCAATGCATCTGTACCACAGTGACATCTGCAGACTTTACGCCAGAAGGCCAACCCTCTCTATTATCAAGGAGGTTTCAAGGAAGAGAAGAGACTGCATTTCTGACAAATTTCAGAGCAGTGAATTGTCCAAAGAGAACAAAATGGTGCCCTCTGATCTCACTTACTTGGCAAAATTTTGTGCCAGCTTCTGCATCTGCAGGACCACAATGTCATACCAAATTAACAACAAAAATTGTTAATAAGGGAGAGTGGTTTTGAGATACACGCAGACGCATGACTAGAGAGTAGATGGGATCAATGCATGCATTCATTGGCTCTGCTCAGAGCTGGAGCCTAGAGCCTTTGGAGAGGATGCTGAACTCCCCTCCCTATTTTGTGAGGACCAAGGAGACAATCTTTCTACCGCTCAGGACAAGACTGATGCTTCAAGGTGCTTTATTCTGGTAAAGCCTTAGCTCCTGGCAAAGGAAGGGGAAGGGGGGGTTTGTCCTGCTTCTGCTGTTAACAGTTCAAGGGCAGGAGAGATTTATAACCAAAAAAAGAGGCAGGTCTGAAACATGAGTCCGAGGAATTTTAAGGAAGTCACAAAAGTTTTCTTTTACATTATATATTATTATACACATTATGTGTGTGTGTGTGTATTAAAGGTGTCTCATATGTTAATGAAAACTTAATTAAGTAGTCTTCCAGCTGAAACCTCTCTCTTAGGGCCTATTTGAATGCATTAATGTAAAAGAAAACTGGAAAACTAGCCGAAATGATCCTATAATGTATATAAAAAGGCAGAATAAGCAGAACACTCCCCCCCAAAAAGGAATGAAGCTGGAAAATTTTACTTATTTCAAAACTAACTACAAAGCTACAATAACTATGACTATGCAATATTGCATGAAGGTAGATACACAGATAAATATAATAAAAATGAGTTCAGAAAAAAAAGAAATGAGAGTTCAGAAATATTTTTCAATTACTGTACTATTTTAGGTGTGATAATGGCATTGCAATTATGTTTAAAAAACCAAGGAAAAACACAGCTTATTTTTAAGTGACATATACTAGAATCAAGCAATTTGACGCTGATGCCTAGAATATGCCTCAAAATATTACAGCTCGGGAGGTTAAAGCAAAATAAAATCGTGGCTGTGTCAGAAGGGAAGCCTGATGTGACCAAGGGTAAAGCACGTGGCTATCAGCTGCAAGCTCAGCCGTGCACACCCACCAACAGCCTGACAGGAGGAAGATTCGGGGGGCTGCTTCTGGAAATATCTACAGCCACAGAAACCCCACGAGGTGGTTCTCCTTTGCCCTTCAGGCTCCTAAGGAGTTGGAAGTGACTCGATGTTAGTACATTTTGTGGGTTTTAATATGTGTTAAAAATGGCTGGAAAAACAAGTGGTTCAGAACAGCCAAAAGTCAATGCTAAGGCTTCATTATAGGATTTTCTCTACATGTTGCGAAGGATCCATAATAAAATAGAATGTATTTTTAATTGCTTGTTAAATACACAGAAGAGCTCAGGATGGATTAATAAAAAAATATACAACACAGTCTCTAGAAGGAGAAATGGATGGGAGAAGATACGGGTAAAAAGGAAACCCTTCATTAAATGTTCTTTTAAAAAATTTAATAAAGCAAAAGAGTGTCTGCAGCTCACCATGACTGGCACTTAGTAGCTACATATTAAAAAGGACTTATTATTATTATGGAGGGAAAAATAAACATAAGCCATTTTATAGATGACCCACTGAGTTTAGCAAAGTCTCAACCTCCTCGGGGCTTGGGGATGAAATGGAAAACAGAGTCTTGACTTTCTTATCCCTGATCCAATCCCCAGGAATACTCACCTTCACTTATAACTTTGTGCCACTAAATAAAGAGGCAGATTTCATCACATAAAAGTAGCCCCAAAGAGAAGTGGACTCCTGAAGACTGCACCAAACCTCTCAATTCAATCCAATCCAAGCATCTGCAGGAGACCAGCATTCTACCTCCCACTGGTGGCAAGCCAGGTGAAATCAAGAGACTTGACATTTGGGGGAAGACAGAAGAGCCCTTTGTGAGCAGAGGTGATAGGAACAGGGCTTTGTAAGCACCCTGGGAGAGCACAGTTATTTATCAGTCCCACCAGCTTCTAACATATTACTTTGCAGGGCAGTGGGCATATTCTCGGGAATAAATCCTGTCTGGTGAATAAAAAGTTCGGTGAACTGAGCTTAGGCAGGCTTGCATTGGAGAAAGACAAAGCACTTATTCGTAAAGGCAATGCATTCTAGCCCTTTAGTTCATGTGTATCATGAGCAACAGTCAGGAACGAAAGCTGCCACCCACCTTGATTCTTGTCATCAGAGTCAGGGTCTGGTTTCAGCCTTTTCACACTATTGCCACTCTCTGAGCTATAACAAAAAAATAAACAAAAGAATCATCAGCAGGGTGATGTGAGCTTTGTGCAGTCTTGGGGATCAAAGCCTGGGAGCATGAGGAACTCTTACAACTATTTAGATAGGTCTTAGTCTCAGAGAGCTGGGATCAAGGGAGAAATTTTCATTTCAGGTTCCTAATCTCCTTTCAATTGTATTATTCATTATAAATACAACTTAACCCCTGATTAATCAAGAACTTCCTGTCTAAGTTTCTGATTTTGTGTTTTCCTTCTTTAACCTGAAGGAGCCTTCGTGGCACGGTGGACCCAACAGTCACTGTACTGGAGAAGCATGTGGCAGCTTGTGTCTGTAAAGATTACAACTATAGAAATCCTGTCATATATGGTCACTGTGTTCTTGGTGTTAAAGTGAGTGGTTGCTTTTTAATAGTTTTCTCACTATCCTTCATAATGTATACAGACTAGGGGTTTCTAGACTTTTAACAGGCATCAGACTCCCCATGGAACTTGAAAAATTAAATTCCCAGATCTCACACTAAACTCACTGAACCAGAGTAAGTGTGGCGTCTGGGAATCCACATTATTGGCAAACTCTCTGGCAATTCAAAGAAAAAAAATGCAAAAATTAGGAATTCTAAGCCTCGATGCCTTAATGAAGTACTCTGTTACATAAAGTAATGCGAAAGGATTAAAAATGTTATGTTAAATGTTAATACCCTAAAGGCATTATACATAGCTCATCAAGTAAGCCCTGGCAAATCACAGCTAATATTGAGCTCTTTATAGGTGATCAGGGAGCTCTGGTGGCCTAGTGGTAAGAAGCTGCACTGCAGTCCCAAAGGTATGCAGTTTGAATCGCCAGCAGCCATGGTGAAACATATGAGCTCTTTCTATAGGTGATCTGGGGACGAAGTAAGGGATATAGTTAGAAGCCCCATTCTGTTACCAGTAGGAGCAGTGCTCAAGAGCCCTTCCTTGGTGCAGCCCCGTGAAAACGACCCAGAGCTGAATGATGCTAAGACACTGGGCTCGGCATGAAAGCTTACGTAAAAACTTGAAAGGTATAATTCACAGCTTGGGTAACTAGCCCTTTACAGGCTATTATTGCCACTTCTCTGCTCTCCTGCTATTACCACGATGGCACGGCCACATGTAGACAGCGTTCCCAGGAACAGCTGCTGCAGAGGAACGGCATGCCAAACCACAAGACTGCATCGATATGCGCGCACTTAAAAATCACGTGACTTGTTGCCAATGTACCACACTGATTTCCCAAATAGACTGCACTTAAACTTATCTGCAGTTCATCCACTGTCTGTCTGGTTGGTCAAATTAAAACAATAAGATTTGGTCACTCTGGAGCCATTTTAGGATTTGGAAAGGGCGGGACAAGTGTAACGGAGACCTTACCAACACCTCTAGATCACAGCCACATGCCAATTAACCACACAGAGGCACCGCCAGCTCTTAACACGGTCACAGTGGCGGTGACTGAGACATGACACCGTGCTTTACAGCAGCTTCTCCCTATCTGGGATGTTCTTCTCTCCCTTGTCTTCATTTAAGTCCTGAGGTCCTACCGAAGCAACATCTCTTTCCTAACGCTTTTCCTAATCTCCCCAACATGAGCATACATACGTCCTCCTCCCTGCTCTCATTATACTCCATTCAAGTTCTTGACCTTGGATGGTTCTCAACCTCTGAAATTCTCAGACTCCTCAGCTGTAAAACAGGGATTATAAGAATCTGTACATCAGAGAACCATTATGAAGAATACAGGAGCTCACGCATGGGTAACAACACAATGCCTTAAACATGGCACGTATCGACTAATGATTAACCCATCATTCTCTTTAGGGAGCTCTGGTAAGCCTAGAGGGAAGGAGCTGCACGATCAGCCCAAACATAGGCAGTCTGAATGCCCCAGTCGCTCTATAGGAGAAAGATGGTCCGTTTCCTCATGAGCCTCTGAAAAACCTCTGGAGGGTCAGCTGAGTTGGTTGACTTGACAGCACACAACAACAATTATTATATTTATTGAATGATTGGTCAGAGAGACAATACAGAAGACACCAAATCTAGAAGGAGGAAAAGATACAAGGCCTCAAAAGGCCAATGAGATTTAGGATGACAGAAAGAGAATTGATGCCTTTGAGTTGTGGTGCTGGAGAAGAGTGTTGAATATATGCCATGGACTGCTAGGAGAACAAACAAGTTTGTCCTGGAGAGGGCGAAGCCAGAATGTTCCCTGGAGTCAAGGACTCTAAAGCTTCATCTGACCTACTTTGGCCATGTTTCAAGGAGGGACTCGTCCTTGGAGAGGGACATCATGTTTGGGAGAGTGGATAGGTGGCGCAGGAGAGGAAGACCCTCGATGAGATGGATCGATTCTGTGAGTGGTGTGGTAGGAATGAATGTGTTTGAGACAGCGAGGTTGGCACAGGATAGAACTGTGTTTAAAGCTCTTGTACATAGGGTCGCTATGGGTCGCAAACGACTCGATGGCACATAACAACAACCACCATTACAAGTGGTATTTCAAAGTCTGTTGCCTGGGTAAGCCACACTTCTAGACTGGGCCTACTGGATCTTGTCTGGCCCCCTTATCCCTGCCTCGATCTCAGATTTGGCTGTATCCTGAGTTATGCTGGCTCTGGGCTAGCTTCCCCCTTATTGGCCATGGGTCTTGAGGTTCTGAGTCACTGGACTACCTGAACGGTACAGCCCAGTTCAACTCAAGACTTCTGCACTCTTTCCACATCAGAACTTCACCTGATGAAGTTGTTTAGAATCAGAGAGCCATGATGGATGACTAAGACTGCTGTGTCCCCTAGCTGGATCCCCTTCCTATCATCTGGTAGTAATAGGGCAGCTGCCTGAGACCCTACTTCTTTATTCAATGGTACACAGGGAGGGGCAGAGAGAGGTTGAGCTAAGAGCAGGGGAAAGACAACAGCCACTGGGCGAGCTGTTAACAGCTGATACTGTTGTTTACTCTCTATGATTAAAAGTGCTTCAACCTCAAAAACAAAACCCAAACAAAAAAGTGGCATTTCAGCGTACGTGCAAGGTGATCTAAGTGTGTGCGTGCTCACTGACCTCTTGTGTTTCACTGCTCCTGCCAACAGTTTGGCCTGGGAGAACTTGCTCTTGGTTTCTACGGGTTTCGCAGCCAATTTCTTCTCCACTTCTTTTTTGCTTTCTGAAGAAATTCCAACCTTGTTGAGATTACTGTGAGCTACAGATTAAGGGTCAATAGGGGGCAAAGGTAAGTCAAGAAGAAAAAGATAAATAAAACCCACCGGCATACAACTTTTGTTGTTGCTGTCGTTAAATGCCATCAAGTCATAGACGACTCATAGCAACCCTATGAACGAAAGACCTGAACAACACTCGTACAACTTTCATCCTTTCTCCAGGGTTTCTGGAGGCAAGCTATTTCAGAAGTGGATGCCACTCCTGCTTCCAAGCTTGTTTTAATCTGGGAACTCCATCAAACACTGTCCACCATGGACAATAACCATTATCACATTTGACACATCAGTATCACAGTGTTCAACTTCACAACAACCACAAGGTCCAGCTTGAACAGATATTCACAACACACTAAACTCAGCCTACAGGCGTGGCCAAGCATTTCTGTATTTTAAAATTGCAGCACACTCAAATGCTGGTGGACTCTGGGCCAGAGACCCCCAATTCATCTGGCAAGTCCCCTCTGCTGATACTCATTTGGGACGAAAGCAAGCCATAAGAGCCCCAAGCGTTCCATACATGTCCCTCCTCAAGACACGAGAGGCCCATAACAACAACAACAACAGGCATATTTGCAGAATTTCCTAGTCTTCTGATATCCTGACTCTGGTACCACGTTGATCCAAGTAAGATGAATTCATTGACACTTTCAATCTTTTCTCCACCTACCTTGATGTTGCCTATCTGTCCAGTTGTGGTGTTAGTTTAAAAACTGGCTTTTCTAACCTTTAAGTTAGGCCCCTCTGGTATCCAGCTAACTTAGGGGCAGACACGTGGTCTTGCAAATCATCAACATCTATGGGAATAGGATAAGAGAGAATGCTTCACACCCTCAGCAGCAAGACTTGAGGGAAACTGAAACAAGATCCTGTTGAGAGTAAGACCCTGATGAGAGCAAGACCTTGGAGAAATGGTGAAGGAACTGTGGTATTGCTGTGGAGAAACTGTGGCAAGTTGTAATTAGAGGAGCCCTGAGACAAAGGCCACAGTTAAACGTTTTGCTCTTCTTTCCAGATGATTGAAGGAGAAGCTGATTTATAACTGTTCTGAGGCAAACCTTGCTGGATGACTATGAAAAGCGGAGGCTTCTTAAATTGTGTTGCTGAACTGAAATTAGGATGTTTACTAATGAAGGAATTGGGTTTTGCTGTTAAGATGGCTTAGGACTACTGGACTAAACCTGACCTTCATTGTGAGATATTCTGTGCCTCCCCCAACTCCCCAACCTAGTTCCCTAATAAACCCCTCTCTTGGTACCACAAAAAAAAAAAGTCACGAGAGGCCATGCAACACTTAGTCTACTTCACAAATGCTCCTTCTGTCCAGGACAAAAGAACATTTTGTGGAAGGTCTTTAATGATCATAAATGGTATTCACTTCTAGACGTCATGGAGCCGGATTCTTCCTCTGCTGGGGCAAAGGAATATCAGGACCACCTCAAGGTTTGTTAAAAATGAGGATGCCCTCTCCTTCCCCATCCCAATGAGCATCTCTACTGTCTTAGGGATTTATAGTTTTAATATTTCCTCAAGGGAATGCTAATGGAGGAACTTTCATGCATATACAACAGAAGAACCAAAAATCTATTTTTGTAGGTCTTTTGTAAAGCATCAATATTTTATGTTGATACCACCTCCTGGGCTCTCAAGGTTACTTGATTCTGTGCTGCCAGTCTCCTTTGCTTCTTTCTCTCACAATCGCTTAGGTAACAGTAAGTATCCTAACATGATTCCTTCTTTAACATCCAGGCGTCCTTTACTAGGGAGCTCTGGTGGCACAGTCCCTACAAGGTTCCAGTGCTAATGAAAAGGCTGAGTAGACACAGTACTCCTCCCATGATGTGCACCGCAAACCTCAATGGAAGGCCAGGTCTCTCTGAGTCAGAATTGCTCCAGTGGTAGAAGTTTGAAGGCTCTGGCGTTAGTTTTCTTTTTAGTTCTTGACTGGAACAACAGTGACATCTAGTGCCCAAGAAACCTAAGCAGCATACATTAATTATCAACCAAAAGGGGTGAAGGTGGGAAGGTCTATATGGTCTAGGCAAAGTTTTTCTTTGAACAGTGTTAGAAAACAGGGTCCCAGAATAAAGAAATTCTAATGCTGATCACTCTTCTGGCAACAATTCTGTTCTTATTTGCATCAGTTACTGTAAATATGAAAG